CGCTCCCAAGGCACAAATAACTTGATTCCCAATCATTGCATTTATCGAATCATTTTTGATAGATGCGCATTTTGGGTAGAGTTGATTTCTAGCCCGGGTTTTGTATATGAAAATATTTACGGCCTACAATATTTTCAGTTCAACGGGCTTTTTGGGATACCAAAAAAATACCATACATATACCAAAACTGGTTTCAAAGGCAGCTACATGCATCGAGCCTAAAGGCAGGACGCTGGTTCAAACCGCGAAGCGCACTAAAGACAAGTTTATTTGCGTTTGCAGTCCTTTTTATACAAAGAACTTAAGTTTAATAGTTGATTGTTGCGCTGAACCTTGAAATAGCAGAGATTTAGCTTGCTGTATTTTCTATTGCTTATAATTCACAACTGGTTTTAGCTGTTAGCTTAAAGAGTATCGCAAATGTCAATGCTTTTTGGGCTTTTCAAACTATGCCTACCTCTAATCGCGTTGAATACAGTTGGATATGTGCACTAAACAGGGTATTTGCGAGTCTGTCTCGAGCTTGCTTTCCCTTTATATATTCCCATTATATGCATATAATATGCAACTAGATTTTGTTGCTGCTTTTTGCTGGCTGTGTGCACTCAGTACACAGTTTCGGTATATTTCTCGCTTTCTGGTCTATTGATTTTCTGCTAAAGTTTTGTATTTTTTTCCCCTTTTTTGATAGTGTTTTGTCTCGTCGCTGCATTTGTTTGTGGCCAGTCGGAGGGACAGACGGAGAGACGGAGAGATGGACGCGGAGCGGGTCTGGTCTCGGTCGGCCAGTGTTACAATGCAACAGACAGAGGCTGGAAACGGCCGTTGTTGCGGCCATTGTATATTGTAGCCTGGACCACAGGACTTGGACCCGGACCCGCACCCGGACCCGGCCCCGGCTGGCCCCGGCATTCTATTGATTTTTTCTTCTGCGGGCAACCCCTTTTCGCAGGCAGCGGCTGTTGCGGGAGATGCCATAAAAAGTCATTAGTGAGAGAGGGTTCTGGCCGGAGGTAGCTTCGAGTGCATAATGGCACAATTTAAATACGAGTGCGCAGCGCCGCGACGGGCATGTGAATGAACCTGCAGCATGCAGCATGTGGCATGTGGCATGCAGACCATTTAAGCGACGGCCCGGCCCACGCGGCGTATGCGCAATGTGCCATACCTAGATTTTCTTCTTAGTTTTTCTTGCACTCGTGCCCACGCAAAACAATAAACTAAAAGCCATTTGCTTTTGATTTATTGACGCACGTACGTGGCAAGCGGCAGCAGGCAGCAGGCAGCCATGCCACATGCAACAAGCTGAGCGAATGGAGTTTCGGACATGATCCGAATCGATGGCGTAATGATTATCTATTAAAATAAATCACGTATTTGGCAACAGGCGCCGCCAACTTGAGCAATTTTTGCCAAAGTGTCGAAGTCTATAAATTGCAGACGTGTATGCCCTCTCTGTGTGTGTGTGTCTGTGTGCGTGTGTGTGTGTGCCTTCTGGCTGGTCGCGTTCCTTTGCTGCAAATCTCATTCTGGCATCGAGCAACAAATTGCCGCTGACAGGCCGTCAGACAGGCCGCTTCAGCAAAAAAAAAAAGAAAAAAGCCAACGGCGACAACGTTAAGTGTAATATAAATATATCCAACTTGACTGCAAAGTGTTTAAGCCCTTTTTTCCTAAAGGCCAAGACGCAACGAGCAGCAGCTAAGTGAAATAGACATAAGAAGCGCTTACAAAGGGCATATGACAAAAGCGCACAAAGACTTCTGCTGAGCCTTCAAAGACTCCAATCCATCTATATAAACTACTCTGCACTCATGTTACTTTACTTCGGTTAAGTACTTTTAACATTCCAAGTTTCTGTTGCGCTTGAAAGTTGACGAAATCGAGGCGAAAGAGATAACAGATAAGCTGGCATTCGTTTTTAGCTGTACGCAGCTTAAACGAATCGTAAAGCGTCTTTTGTTCAGTTTTGTTTAATTAGAATTCCAAGTTGGCGAAATCGAGGCGAAATTGAGGCGAAATCGTCTGAAGATAAACTGCCATTCGGTTTGTAAAATGGTTTATTTTCGTTTTATTTAATTTACATTCCAAATTTCTTATACACTTACGAAATTGAGGAGAAATCGTCAGAAGATAAATGTCCTTTAAATGTTATGTAATTACTCCATTACCTAAACCATTCCAAGTTTTTGTTACGCCTGAAAATTGGCGAAATTGAGGCGCGAGACTTTTCTGATAAACTAACATTCTTCTTTTCTTCATTTTAGCAGTACGCAATTTAAAAAAGTCGAATTTATTTTAATTTTATTTAATATGCATTTAAAGATTTATGTGCTTTCATTTCGACAAAGTATTTTTGCTTATATAGTAATTATAAGTAATTATAAGACTTTGAAAATCTGCAGCATACTTTTAGGAACTTTCAAAGATTGAATTGCCTTTCTGCCTAGTCTGTTACCAATTGTATATTTAATTTATATTTAATGCAAACTCAGTTTATTTTGTTGTTGAAATTCAGGTGTTGTTGTTTTTGGGAACACATGTGTTGACTGTGGCATTACACATTTTTTACGGCTTACTTGACTCGAATTGCATAGGCAAATCTGCTTAGGCTTGCAATTTTCTATAATTTTCCACATATATTTTTTTCTGTTCTTCTACCTTTTGCTGTGTTGTTGTTGTCGCACTTTCAACTAATTGCCAGCAATTTAGCAAACGTTGCCAGTCCACTGCGGCGTATGCGTAATATTTATGCTCTCCCCCTCTCTCTCTCTCCCTCTTACTTCCCTTCTCCCTTTCTCACTCTCTCTATCTGACTTTTGTTTGCCGCTGTGCATGCCCAGTGCGCACATTTGCCGCATAATTGCCAAGTCATGATTTTTCACACACCAAAACCGAAAAACAAGAAGGCAACAAAAAAAATAAATGTATGGAAATACAGAACATAAAAAAAACAGAGAAAGCAAACTGTTCTAGGGAAGATTTTCACAGTGTTTGCTGTTGATATTCGCACTGGGCATAATTTCCATGTTGCTTAAACGGCACTTTTGTTGCTGCTGCTGTTGCTGCTGTTGCTGCTTTGGGGTCCCAGTTCCAGTCGCTGACTTCAGTTTATCGTTATTGACAGTTTTTTTTTACTGTGCTGTTTCCTTTATTTTGTGCCCTGTTCTCAGTGCGAAAACGAGTATATCGTGCATTGCCTGCTCGCATGGGCCGGGAAGGTTGTTATACGATGTTGTGCATATTTACTTCTCAAAAAAGTGCTATGAATTTTAAGCCACGCCCTATCAACGGGCGAACAAACGCGACAATCTAGAACTCCTACAGTTTTAGAACAATAGGATGGCCTCCTTTTCAGATCGAGCTGAAAATGTTATGGCCAAGCCCAACCAGACGCCACAGATTAGAAAAATGTTTTCATCCTGAAGTCACCGTTTGAAAGCCACTGCCTTTTATTTACAGTTTGCGAGGCACTAGCCCAACATTCAAATAGACTTTGATGGACTGATTTAAATACCAAACTTTAACGACCACGCCCAAATTATAAATTGGACACAACTTTTTCTCGCTTCAATTCACAGTTTGAAAGCGACTGTCTTGTGGTTACAGTTGGCGAATCACTAGCCTACCAATCAAGTTGTACTCTCAATAGACAATAGATTTAAATTGATCCCAAACTTTTACACTAACATCTTAATCTTCTAACTTACAACTCACCCATATTAATTTGGAATAATGTATTCTCTCTTAAAATCACAGTTCGAAAGTCATTGAGTTGTGTTTACAGTTGGGGAGTCGGCAGCCTAAAAAACCGAATTATGGAGACGACCAATCACCTTCTGCTTCTAAAAGTTGAAAATTGTTACTCTCCACAATTTACAGTTTGAAAGTCACTTTCTTGTATTTACAGTTTCTGAGTCACCAGTTGAATGATAGACTCGTTTTGACAGATTTAGATGGATCCCAAACTTTTTCGACAACGTCCATCCCGCCCCTATGAAATGGAAAAAAGTTTTTATCTCAAATTTACAGTTTGAAAATCATTGTTTTGTGCTTACAGTTTGTGAGTCACCAGCCCAACAATCAAGTTAACTTCTTTTTTCTTCTGATTTTTGCTGATTTTTACACTCAGAACAGAGTATGTCGCAGTCGGTTACAGTTGCCGGCAATTATCAGATTTGTTCTTCCTCTTTCTTTTTTTTTTCTTCTGCTTCTTATCAAGCGGCTGTCCCTTTTGCATAGTTTCCGTAACGAATTTTCTTTTAGTTGTGCACAGCATACAAGACCTTACCTTGGGGAGTGCTGGCTGCATTTTTTTGGACTGGTCACAGGGCAAGTTAATGTCATGTCAAGCGATTTTCAAGCCGAGTACACACAAACACACACACACGTGTTTAGTCAGTGAGGAAGAGAGTGTCAGAGGAGGAGTAAGGGGGGGGGGGCATGTCATGTAGGGAGGCTTAGGAGTATGATATCTGTTCACTTGAGCTCAACTTATGGCGCTCCAATTTCGCGCTGATGCATAATTTTTGCCGGCGCGCATTAAAATGCGCTCAAAGGGGCGCAAAAGCCAGCCAGGAAAAAGGAAAAACTAGGGAAAAACTCTGGGAAAAATGAAGGAAAATGTATATGCATATATATATATATATGGTATATTGCACTGCGCTGTGAGGGAAACGCCAGCCTTTGGCTCGTTTATCTTTGCTTCCACTGTGCGACGGGCTCAAGTGCTTGTGTGTGCGTGTGTGCATGTGTGTGTGTATGAGTGTGTGTGTGTGTGACATGATTAATATCCCCGCTGACAGTTGACTGACTGTCGTCAAGTGAAATCAAAAGCGTTGCATACAAAAAAACAAAAAACAACTTCAACTACAACTGCGCAGCTTTAAAACATTTGCGAGAGCTACGCCATTTGCCATTTGAAATATCGCTGTAAATTCCGGGGTCAAAGTTCGTCGAACCAAAGGCAAATCACATAAATATTCGGTATTTTCTAACAGCTTTCTAACGCTGCCTTCAGCCGCATTAAACATTTTAATGAATTTCGAAGCGCGTAAAACATAAATAAATAAAAACAAAAACAAAAAGGAAAAGGAAAACAACAGAACCATTAAAAAGCTTCAATCACAGCGCAAATCTGTTCATGTGTGCCCAAAGAAAACAAAAAGAAATTAAATAAACAGCGAAGAGAAAGAAAATAAATCGGGCAAAAAAAAAAACACCAGCGAAATTCGGCGTTTAAAACACACACATAAAAAATGTAATGGAAAGCATTAGTGCTCATAAAAAATGGATTTACACAGCCTTTTTAAGGCTGTCCTGATCCTGTACATCATCCGAGGTGAGTACCATTTGCCGCAGCATCCTTTGACAGCCGAATGTCTGTCTCTCGATTGTTGCCAGCACCAAAAATGTTTTACATATAAATCTACCATATTTTTTTGTATATATTTATGCATACATATTTTATAATGTACTCACTAAAATCTGAACACTTGAAGCGAGAAAATCTATTTATTTTTTATTTTAAAATATATGCAATCACATTTTAAATTTAATATTTGCATTTTGTTGGCATAGCCAACTGTTTGAGAGTTAAGAAAAATCAACTTCCAGGGCGAAACATTTATATTTTATTTTAGTCCAAATAAATTTTTTAAGATTTTTATTTAATTTTAAAGATATTAGGATCTTTCATTTAATTGAATTTTATTTCTATTCTTCTTTTGGAATAAAACATAATTTAAATATATTTATAAAAGTGTCAGCAACAATTTCTGTATATAGAAAATTTATAGGAATTTTTTAAATATGTCCAAAAATTGTTGAGATACATATCACATCATTTTCATGCTCAATTTTTGTGCATTTCGATTCTTGAAATTATCAAAAATAAACATGAAAATATAAATATTTCAACCACAAACTTCATAAATATAACGCATACGCCCAGTGTAACCGTTCATTGAAACAATTTTCTTCAATGGCCTTACCAGTTTCCTTGCTGCATTCTTACATCATCAGTTTTATACCCTATATCTATTGACGTTGGGTAAAATGGGTATTATGTAGTTGTGGCTATGCATGTAACAAAAGGGAGTATTTTCCATATTAGAGACTGCATGCAATCTCATCTTTATTTGCCTATCGACTTGAAATCAACCCAACATGTTCTCAATCTCGATATATATCGATTTTCAGCCCAGGTTTTGTAAGCAAATATCGTAGCTGTGTCTGTATCTGTCTATCGACGTGAAATTTAAAATCCAACTCTTTCCATTCATCCAAGGTTTTCTAAGCATATCTCATGGATTATACGACGCCTTTGTGTCTGTCTATAGACCTGAAATTCGTTTTCAATATCGATAAATATCGACCGGATTTTCGAAGCGTATCTTTGCGTACGGCTTTTAATTTGAAATGTAACTCAACACGTTACCAAAATCGATAGGTATTGATTTTGAGCCCAGGCTTTTTAAGCATAGCACGTAAAATATGTCTTTCTGTCCATCGACTTGAAATTCGAAATGCCCCTCTTCACGTTTCCAATATCGATAAATATCGATTTTCAGCCTAGGGCTACAGCACAATCGCTACTTGACGTTTTGATGTATGCAGGGTATCTTCGAGTCGTTCATTTTGGTTTGCTGTTTGTTTTCAATTTGCGTTTGACTGATCCCTGAGCTTTGACTGGCGCCTGGCTGTATGCAACACTTTTTGTGTGTGCGCCAGGCTAAAAATAATTAAGCTGCGTATCCAGTTTTTGTTTTTTGTTCATGCGCTTGCTTTTGATTGTTGTTGTTGTTTTGGTTGTTGCTGCTGCTGCTAGTGTCGCTTCTTTGGCTTGTCTTTTGTGCGCTGTCGCCTGCAACATTCGCCACAGCTCGCCACAGCCACTTTGTCCACTTGGCTAACAAGCCGGGGCGGGCCACGTCTGATATCTTGCCTGGCGTTTCGTGTTTTTTTTTTTTTTTTCAAAAAGCCAAAGTTATCAGCAAAAGATCAACGACAGCGTGTGCCTGCCCAGCGAATGCCTCCTGGCAGCCGCAGGCTCTTTGTTTTTTTCTGCTTCTTCTCTCTTTTTCACTTTGCCAAAGCCAAAAGGCTGCGGGCTGATGTTGCTGCTGTTGCTGCTGCTGCTGTTGCTGCTGGTCTCTGACTGTGACAGTCTAGGCCTTTCTTCTTGTTGCTGATGATGAGGCTGATTATGCGCTGCATGTTGTCGCTGCCTTGGACAATGCTGGCAAGGATTGCCACAAAAGGCGGCAGCTCTGCTGCTGCTGCTGCCTGTTTACTTGGCTTTGCCATTGCTGCTCGCTTTTTGTTTCATAAAATAGCAGGCCAGCCGAGGCACACAGGCTGGCTGCATAATCTTGGCCGCCGCCCGCTGCGCTTCTGACGAACTGCCACACACACACCCAACGACTGGCCCTCAGCTTGCCACACAGTGTGTGTGCTGCAACGTGACATTCGAGGTCGTTCACATTTCGAGGGCGTGTTGTTGAACTTGGTGTTCCTTGTGTGTGTGTGGCTGTGTGTGTGGGTGTATGTTGCAACGCTCGAAACTTGCTGCGCCTTCAAGAGTGTGGAGTGGGGGGACGGGCGCGTGTTGCATATTCGGTTGCTAAATGCCATGATACATTAGACAATGAGCAAGCTCTAATTATGTCTTGCGTCTGCTCAAAAACTGCAATTAACATTTGAGCCCAGTTGTTGCTGTTGCTGCTGCTGTTGCTGTTGTTACTGCTGCTGTTGTTGCTGTTGCATTGTGCCCTGAAGTGTTGGTGCACGCCGGCAGCAGAAAGTTCTATGAGTTTGCTTGTAAACGACGCCGTCGCAACGAGTTGCCGCGAGGTTTGCAAAACTTTTGTCATTGTTGGTGCTGCTGCTGCTGTTGCTGCTGCTGTTGCTGCTGTTGCTGTTGCTGCTGTTGCTGCTGCTGTTGACTTCATTTCTTTGAACAACACAGACAAAAGTGAAACGTGTGCTTTTCAATAATTCAGTTTTATGGCACAAAACTCGACACAACTCAACGTGACGTGCGCTTTTGTCTGCAGTTGCCGTTGTGACTTTTAAAGTTGGCGCTCATTAACGTAGCAGCAGCAACAGCAACAACAACAGTTGCAGCAACAGCAACAACAGCAGCAACAGCAACGTCTGCAACATTAATTGAAATGCTTTTCACTTTTAGTAGTTCGCAATTTAATTGCATACTTTTGTGCGCAAAGCCACCGCAAAGTAGCAACAGCAACAACAATGTGCAACAGCAGCAACTGGCAACAACAACGCGCCGCAGCAACATGTGCAGCAGCAGCAGCAACAACAGCTGCACGCAGTCAATAACAAAATTCAAATGTAGCATTCAAATGTTTTAGTTCAATCGCTGCAAAGCGCAAGCCACCAAAATGAATGCCAAAGCGCATACCCTGTAAAATGACAAAACAAGGGGTATGCCGAATGTAAAGGCAATCTACAACTGCTTAATTAACAGCTATAACTCTTGTAAAAATATACTTTGAATATTAAATCTGACATCAAAAGTATGTCGATTATACCCTGTAATTTAAAAAAAATTGGGTTTTGAGTCTAATTTGCTTGGCACATCTTTAATTTCTAGGCTAGACGACTTCCTATGCAGCATATTCAAATAAAGTCATAAAAGAACATTTGAAATACCCTGTAAATATGAAAAGCCAAGCTTTAGCCTGTTGTTGTGGCACATGTTCAATCTATTGATTAGCTGACTTCTTATTGAGCATATTTATGGAAATTCATAAAAGAACATTTGAAATACCCTGTAAATATGCACAGACAAGCTTCTTTAATAAGCAACGGCTTAGCTAAGAGCTACAAATTCAAAAAGCGTCAGTAAACTGTTGTTGACCAGCTATACAAAAGCAGCTTAACAAGAAAACCAACATAATACCCTTTAATTTCACAAGAAAAAGTTTTGAGCTTAGTTTTTGGAGCATACCTTCAATCAAGCGCTATAAATCCGTCTAGTGTTCGTTAATTTTGTAGATCAGTACCGGGTAACTGCTAGTCGATCATCTATCCAGTTGTTTTCATAGGGTATATTTTGCCTGTTGTTGGCTGCGTTGAAGCGGCAACAGCTGAATTAAGTCAAGGGGCTGTCAGCGCTGTGCGTGATATGACCTAAGCAAATACACTTTGCACACACACACACACACGTACCAACACACTCACACACGCGCGCATAGATATATGTACAAATACCGTTACGCTCTGCTGCGTCGAGACAGAGACTTGGGGCTGGGGTTTAGGCAGCGGAACGCTCGGCTGAAGCAGACGCCTCGCATTAGTCGAGGCTTTTAAGCAGAAAAATGCGTGCACTTGAACTGAGAGCAGGCATGGGAGAGGGGAAGAAGGGGGCGGGAATTGGAGCTGAGCCAGGGGCTGTCATGGCAGAAGGTGTGTGGGGGGGGGTCGCTTAGCTGCTAAGAAGCTGCCTTTAAATGTTAGGCTCTGCCGACTTTTTTTTTTTTGGCCGAATAGCTGGGGGGGAGGAGGGAGGGGCGTGGCACTGCCTCAATCAAATGGCAACGTTGCGCCTCGAATGCTCTTCATATATATTTGTCAAGCCATATCCCCTGCCCCCGCCCCCAGCCCCTTCCGTCCCCCGCCACGCCCTTTGCCTTTTATATTGGGCCCCTTGACAGCAGACAAAAGCCTTGGGAACATCTTTCACTCACGTACCTTATGCAAATCAGCTTTAACGTGTGTTGCTTCTTCTTCTTGTCGTTTTCTCTCTCTGCTTCTTCATCGTTTTCCACTGATGCTTCTTCTTCTTCTTGTTTCTTTTACTTTTTTGACTCTCGAAATTGCGTTTTCATTTAAATGGCGCACGGAAAAACTTTGACGCTGCGAACTTGTCGCTGGTTTTTATTACTCTTCTAGCTTAAGATTGAAGAGGGGCGTTTGCGGGGGTGGTTGATGGGTACTGGGGGGGAGGGGAGGGGTGTTCGGTGCTTGGACTCTTAAGCGTTTTTGATTTAGTTGCGCTTTGAAGCTGACGCTAGTCATTATTTACAGTTTTTCTTCAGTTGACTTCATGGAAATTAAAGACATGCCCGTTGGACATTTCTTTTACATACTCGCAGCGGATGTTATGGCTATGAAGTTAAGTCTGTAACACATTAAAAAAAATAATGATGTAGTTTTCCTGATTATATATGAGATTTACAGATTTTTTAGGCAAAGTTTTAAGTTTGCATATAAATGTATGTCTATTTATACATACATGCATGCATGTTTGTTTTGTATATATGCAAACATGCATGCATGCGTGCGTACATGTATGTCGGGATACCTACATACATGCACACACATATATATTACATACATACATACATACCTTCATACCTTCATACATACATACATACGTACATACATACATACATACATACATACATACTTACATATATACATACATACATACATACATACATACATACATACATACATACATACATACATACATACATACATGCATACATGCATACATGCATACATGCATACATGCATACATGCATACATGCATACATACATACATACATACATACATACATACATATAAACATCTACATACATATATACATCTACATACATCTACATACATACCCGCTCAACCTCCTCCTGCGCCGCCTTCTCCTGCTCCACCGGTCGTTGGAGCCAACGTTTCCTGCCTTGTTGAATTTCAGCAAGGCCTACTTGAATTCTTGAGAATCGAGGAGGAAAGCACTTGGTAGAAATTCGTTTTATTTCAATTTGCAGGACAGCGTCAACTAAGCTTGTTCTGCGTTTGGTATTAGAAAACAAACATGCATGCATACATATATACATAAATGCATGCATACATGCATGCATGCACTAACACACACCCGCCCACACACACATGCATACACACACACACATATATATAATACTTATCTGCCTTAGTACAAAATGTTTGCAATTTATAAATATATTAAAAACTGAAAGCCTATTTCAGATATTAAATAATTTTTGAAAAATATATCACACATGCCTAATATATATCTGCTATATAGAGTATATATAGAGTATTTCATCTTTGGCACTCGACATATAACTCTTGCTTTTTTTCTTGTTTTCTGCTCTTTTTTTTCCTCTTACTTGCACGGATTTTCTTCTTAATTACGCGACGACTTTTCTTTCAGCGAGCGTTGCCATTTATTATGGTTGCATTGCTGAATAGAAATCCAGTTGGGCAGTGTATGGGGTAGGGTGTAGCTATGGGTAGGGTGTAGCTGCTGAAAGCTCAAGGCTTGACTCCAGCAGGGAGGGGGGGGGGGAGGGTCGGGGCTTGGCTGTGGCTGTGGCTGCTGCTCATTTGCATTTTGTGTGCGGGCGAGTGATGGCTGTTGTCCTGCTGCTGCTTCTTACTCCATTGATGTGATTGCTTCTGCTTCTGCTTCTTCTTCGTCTTCTTCATTTCTTTTTCTTCCTCTTCAGCTGCTTGGCAGTCATTTCCGTCCAGCAATTTTAAATGAACCGTGATAATGATGCGCCGCCTGCCGCTGGCATTGCATAGAACATCGCGCACTTTTATAGCTGCCCCCGACTCCCTCTCTCCCTCCCCCCCTCTCTCCCTCTTTCTCTCGCTCTCTCTGTGCGCGTAATTGATTTTAGCTGCGTTTGGGGCATGGCAGCTCCTGCTCCTGCTGCTGTCCTTTGGCCAGTTTGATTGACAACGCTGACAAATGGTGCGGCTTGTATTCAATTATGTGCAAAGTGGCAGCAACAAAGGCAGCCCCGCGCAACGTGCAACACGAACGACGCAAGCAAAACCTTATCGAGTTTATCAGACGGTCATTGTGTTGCGTTTATGCCGCATTGTCAGTGCCACACACACACACACACACACACATGCCACATACAGGCAGATACAGTCAGCTACAGCTACATTACCATCATCATCTCACACACACACACACACATACACACACACGCGCGCATGTATATGGGGCATGTTTTCATGTCACATTTTGATAGCATCCGACGGCTGCCATTGTTGCGGCTGCCACCGCGTCGCACGCTTTTGTTTGCCTCATAAATAACCTGGCTTCACATTTAACCGAGCTTTTTGTGCGTCTCCAATTAGCTGACAGCTTTGTGTTAACTCTCACCCAGCCCCTCCCTTCCTTTCCTTTCCTTTCCTTTCCTTTCCTTTCCCTAGATTTCCCTTCCTTTCCTTTCCTTTTTGTATTCCACAATTTTCTCAGCTGACAAATTTAATTTTCATTAGACTGGGTCGCAAATCTCTGGTTGCAACATTTTCCACATCAACTTTGTAGCAGCAGCAACAACAACAAAAACGCTGTTTGTGAATAGAAAATGGTAAATGGAAAAAAAAAAGAAAACTTCATCTTAAGTGACTTAAAAACTAAAACTGGAAATTTAATGTGCTGGCCCGTTGTGGCATCAACTTGTGGCAAACACTTTTTACTTTTCACTAACATTTTTGCCATGCTCGGCGCATTTCCTTTGGGCATTGCAGTTGACAGCGTGCACACACACACACACACACACACACACGCACACACATTTAGAGAACCGCAACGAAAGTGGCACAAAGTTTGCAACACTTTCGGGCTGGACGGGTGGTTGGCTATTGGGGCATTTTTGCCTCTGTCCCGTTTCGGGCTATTCTATTCGTTATCTACTGGCCAATGCCTTTTTGACAAAACAATTTTTCATTTTATTGCTGCGGCTGAAAATTGCTTACAAATTTAGTGCTGCATACTTTGCGGCTGCTGTCAAAAATGCGCCACTTGACGTCTTATTCCCAGTTGCCATTTTCATGCAATTTCACTTTGAATAAAGGAGAACAAAGCGTTTTTCGAAGCTTAATAGAATTTGCTAATTTTTGAGCAGACATTCTTTCACTAATTTACTTGTCAGTATCGTTCTGAGTTTTTATTCTCGTCGGATTCCCAATTACCATTTCACTAGGAATTTCACAGCGTGTTTTATATAATGAGCTTTGTTTAAAGCATAATATTCTCCCTTAATTTACTTGTCAGTAGCATTTCCAGTTTTCATTTCTCAATTTATTCCCAGTTTCCTTTTCTCTGTAATTTTTTTTCTATGAATTTAGGGACAACTTTTCATATGCTTTCTTTTCATCATAATATTCCTTCCTAATTTACTTCTCAATTTCTTTCCGAGTTTCTATTTCTTGTCTGATTGACAGTTCCCTGCAATTTCACTAAGAGTCTGAGGGGAACGTCCATATAATTAACTTTGTTTACGGCAGAATATTCTTCCTGTTCTTCTCTCTTCTTTGTAGCGTTCCGAGTTTCCATTTCTCCATTGCATTTTTTCCATTACCATTCTCGTTCAGTAGAGTTCACATCTTAGATAGTAAGAAATATTAATGACTGTGTCATATTTTAATATCGCTTGTGATGTTCCCAGTTTCTCCTTCTCCTCTTACTATCATTTATTACCATTTCTATTCAATAGGGCCCAGATCTTAGATAATTAGAGATATAAATGGTATTTTGCCATATTATTCTATCTCCAAAAAGTTTCCAGTTTCCATTTCCCCATTTACAAATTTCAAATTTCTCCATGACTGAAGTTATTTCCAATTCGCAATTTCGCTTCCAGAAAGTACATATTAGTCATAGAATATGGCATTATATTTACTTAGCTTCCATATTTTCACAAGTTCTTCATAGTTTATCTCTGTTCCAATTATCTCATTTCTCCTTTATTTTGCATTTTTTAAATCGCAAAAAAATGAAATATAATTCAAGCAAAATCATAACAGCAACTGGCGAAATTAAAGCGAAATAGTTTTGCAATCTCATAAATGTCTTTTGTTTTTTGCTCTTGCCTAACGCAAAAAACGCGTGTAATATATTTTTTACTATGTTTTAAAAATAATTAAATTATTCATGTAGCTGGATGGTAAAAAACACAAAAAAATATATATATATATGCGTTATCTACACGAGTTGCTGTGCGGCACAAAAACGGGTCAGTGCACTGTGAGGCAACGCCTCAAGTTGTCAGGCAGCCGCAATGCAAATAAAGCTTGACATGCACACACACACACACACACACACACACACACACACACACACACACACACACAAGTCACGCCCACGCGGCTGGGATGGCTGCCTTGACTACCAAGTGAATAATAAATAAGGCATAAAAGCCGCATCAAAAGCGCCTTTAAAATACGGCCAAAAATTATGCAATGCCTGGCCAGCGGCTGCTGCGTCACAGCAATTAGGCAGGACTCGGCGGAGACGCCCACCATGCCACGCCCACAAAAAGTAAAAAATAAAAAAATAATAAAGCCACGAAGCGTTGGCCACAGGTAAAAAGCAATTGTCTTTTCGCTTTGTGCGTGCCTTTGTTGTGGTCCACGAGAGATGCTCATTAAAATTTAGGCCAAGCCGCCGGGCAACGGCAGCAGCAGCAAAAACAACAACAACAAGGACAACAACAAGGACTGCGTCACTTAATTTTGGCCAAAAAAGTTTGTGGCTTAAATGAAATTGAAATTAACTTTGGCCGCTCTTGCATTACACGACAGAAAACGCGGGATCTTAATCTATATAGCCCACTCTCTCTCTCTCTCTCACACTCTCTGAATCTCTCTCTCCTTTTCTCTCTCCTTCTCTGCAGCTGAGACGAGCTACATAGTTAATGGCTTGGATCTGCAGGGACCGATATTTCTGCACGAGCCGCCGCATCGCGTTGAGTTCTCCAACAATTCCGGCGGCCTCATAGAATGTTCCGGCCATGGCAGCCCACCGCCCGAGGTTTGTATACTACATATATATATATATATATATATCCATATATTCCATAAAATGGGCGTGGCTGGCTTTCTTTCTGCACTTTGTTTTCGCCTGCTTAATTATGCATGCCACTTTTAGTCTGCCGCTCATTTCCAAGTTAATTGACTGCCCGAAAAACAGAAAGAGAAAAGAAAAACTAATACGCCCCGTTGTCTCACGCTCCCCTCTCTCTCTCTCCCTCTCTCTCTCTCTCTCTAGGTGGAATGGACGCCCATACCGCCGCAGCAGGACATGGTATTTCAGCTGTCCAATGGCAGCATGATGTTTTATCCATTTACAGCCGAAAAATATCGACACGAGGTCCACGCCACGGTCTACAGGTGAGCGCCTGCTGCACACGGCGTATACTTAATATTTTTTTCAAAAATATATTTTCCTCAGATGCAAACTGCGCAATCTGGTCGGCACGGTGCTCAGCCGGGAGGTGCACGTGCGCGGCGGTAAGTTCAAGTAGATTTAATAAAATTTTTGTATAATTAATTTAAGCGTAATTTTTATGGCCGCGTGCGGCAGTTGATTTTGCGCTAACTCAGCTTGTCGTTGGCTAGCAAAAACTTTCGGCTTAATTGCAAAGTTTTCGAAACGCAGCGCCTAAAAGCAGGCAACGCAAGTTTTAATTACTACTGCCAAAATGTTGACTGCCGGAGCGGAGCGAACCGGAACGGGGCGGGGCGGGGTGAGGCTGGGCGGATAAGATCCACAACTCGCCGCTAATTTGGCGGCCAAGCGCGAGAATTGACTCTGGCGGTCGGTTGGCTGCCCTAACCACGCTGGAAGTTTTATTACTAGGCAACCAAATTGGTGCAGACAACGCAGAACTGTTGTGACAGTTCCAGAAGTTCGTTTCTCCTGAATTTCAAATGTGCAAAAATACGCTCTGTTAGGTCGCAAATACATTTAGTTAACAGAATGGAAGCATGAAACCCTGTCTCTAATTTCATGAGAATCGCAAAGTAGGGCAATTGATAAATATAGATTTTTAAATATAGCGAGAACAAGCGATTTTTAAATATAGCGAGAACAAGCGCATACATTTAATTGAAACTATGAGCAAAAATACGCTCTGTTAGATTGAAAGCTATTTCTACAATTCATGAGAATCACATAGAAGGGAATTAGATAAATATGGGTTTTTAAATATAAAGAGAACAGGAGAGTAAATTAAATTGAAAATATGCGCAGAAATACGCTCTGTTAAATTGCCAACACATCTTGTTAACAAAACACACTTAAATGAATGAGAATCGCATAGAAGGGCAGTAAATATAGATGCCCAAATTGCCAACAATAGTTTTCAGCCTATTTTTCGGCTGAGGCCTGGACTTTACTAAGCCTGTAAAAAACATATTTAAATGTTTATAATATACAGATTTTACTTTCACCGCTTTGTCCTTAATTTTTCGATAAATGCGGAGCACGTCCTCAAACAATTTTAGCATAGAGTTTTAGACAGCTCGAAGGAAACGAAAATAGTTTCTTGCAAGAGTTTTTCCGAGTGGAAACATAATTTAGCCAAGATTTATAAGGTCAACTCAAACTGCATTTGGCCAACTGTAGAGCACGTACTTAGAACTAAAGTTTAACAATATTCAAAATATGAATTGACAGGTAGATGACGTACTTCAAAAAAAGTTTTATAGTGTTCAAAATAAAATTGGACAGGGCTGTTTAGTTCTTCCGTATTTCCTACAAGCCATGAAAAAGTACATGAATTAACTTTTGAGACAGCGCAAAGCACAATTTTTTCGATTGTTGAATTTTCAATAAATACTAAACAACTTTTCGGCTCTTAACTTTTGCAACCCTAAAAGCGCACCAAAACTTCGTCTTGATTTTTTATTTTTATTTTATTTTTTGTTAGCCAGTTTCAACTAGAAAAGTTTGTCATTCATTTGGCACTTGGCGCGGGACTTTAATAAAGTGCATTAATGAGCAGCCGTTGGGCCGGAGGCGGAGCAGTCGAAAAGTCGCCACGGCCAATCACATTGATTGGCATCGCATGTCGCATAGATTTTACGGCTCATTGGACAGCCAACTACAGTGAATGCCGGCAGACAAAAACAACAATTAGCACTGGCCATAAAAGCCTTGAATGCCATATAAAATGCCCAGTTGCGTAGATAAAACTCTCAAAGGAAGAGCTCACGACTCGTGACTCTTGGCTTTTGGGCTGCGGCTGCGGCTGCGGCTACGGCTGCTGCTCCGTTTAATTAACAGACTCGCACACAAAAACCGTGCAGAAAGAAAACAGTTGAAAGCGAAAACAAACAGACAAGTCGCCACCGCAAAGATCTTAGATATGTAAGGGTGCACCCGTAAGCCCCCCTCACACACACGCACACACACACACACACACACACACACACACACACACACAGACACACTCATATAGATACGCAGCCGTGGCTACATGCAAAGTTTCCACATCCGGCGGTCATTTTTCAGCAACTCAACAAAATGTTACGTATACGCCATGTCGCTGGCTTATTATACCCTGTAGCCATTTAGAAAATGAGTTAGAAAGGGGTGTATTGAACTTTACAAATGTCATAAAAAGAGCAGTAGAAGTTATCTATGATCCAACAGAGCATTAAATAAGTTTACAAAATCTTTGTTCAAGTCTGAGCTCGAATTAAGATCAAAAACCCTTCTTCCAAGCACTTTTTCATAAAGTCTGCTTAATGCGTTGATCAAGTACCTGATACAAGTTAACAGAAGTTGAATTATGATTAAATTGTGATTGACTTAAGCAAAACTATTTTATTTTTCAGATTCAGAATTACCTAGTTATTAAAATAACTACATGTTCAGGCTTAGGAGATCGTACGTGGAATAAGATTAAAATTCTCTACTTATTTCAATCTAAATGAGATATCAGATCGAAATATTAGACTTAAGTATATGCTTACGTATATAAAAACGTGTGCTGCGTACAGGGTATATGCTTGTCGTGCATGCACAACAAGAGCCACTTATTTTTTTTTTGCTTTATTTGCGGTCGCTTTGATTGTTTTTCCCTCTATGCGTGTGTGTGTGTGTTTGTGTTTGTGTGTGGAAAATGGTTGTATTTGTCTATTTGTCTTTTAGTTTTTTTTTTGTCGACCAATTTCTAGACGAGTGGCCGCAACGCTTTACGCTCGAACAATTTGACAGCGCGTAGATTTGGCGCAAAACGTTTTGCCTAATTTGCAAAAGTTGCCAGGCGATGTCGCCCCGGGCGAACATACACCCCCCCCCCCCCCGAAGCCGCCCCCCAACCCCGTCGCCTGACCACCGGCAGCTTCTAATTTCTCAGCTAATGTGTGTGTGCGAAGTTGACTTTTGTATGTTGGGCGCCTTGGCGTCTTTTGGGTTTTATTTAATTGCCAGCGCTTAGTTCGCGGCGTGCGTATCCTTGAGGTCCTTTTGGCATAAGTGCGCGTAATTAGCGCTAAAAAAAGCAACAACTACAACAGCGAGAAGAAGAAGAGGAACGAGCAGGAAACTTGACAAATTCTGCATACAATACAAAAAGTCGGAAAGTTTTCGTTCTGTCAGGCCAAGGACATGCCGCACAGCGACTGCGGCTGATGAATGATGCCACAAAGTTGCAACTTGGCTAGCACTTTTGCATTTGTGCAACACACACACACACACACACATGCACACACTTACACATGCACAACTACATTGTCTCCCTTTCTCTCGTCTCTGTCTGTGCTATCAAAGTTTTTGATTGAGCTACAAAGTTGCCCCGGTTGCAGCTCTTCCACCTGCCGCCCTTGTCGTCCGTCTGGCTGCTTGTGTATGAAACCTGCGTAATTTGTTCGTAATTAGTTGAATGCACATCGTTGAGCATGCCGCATGCCTCCCGCCTCCCTCCCTCCCTCCCCCCTCGTTGTGTTTGCAGTGCGCTTGGCTAGGCCATAATTTAATAGTTCGCTCGGCACAATAGCTGCAAATCAGCCAAAGACTGGCGCTACCAAAAGCATCTTTCCGCCGGCGCACATCATAAACATAAATTTGTGCAACAAAAAGTTTGCCACACACACACACACACACACACGCAGATACACTCAAAGATATACACACAGATAGACTCATACAAAACAAAGCGGAAATGAATTTCCGCCTAGAATGCAAGTGCAGCCTGCTCTCCCCCCTCTTTCTCCCCACTTTCCCCCCTCAGTTACATTGTGTGACGTCTATAAACTTAGCTTTCATGCTTACGGCTCCTGCCCAGCTGTCCTGTTCCTGTCCTTCCATGCAACACAATGTTGCCGCATGCCAACCCGCGCGCTCTGCCAAATGCAACTTGAAAGCTAGAAAATAAAAAATAAAAAAACTTTGCCTTTGCTTAAAATTCCAAACTATGCAGCAAAAAATAGAAAAAATATACAACAAAAAAAAAATTGCCAAAAAGCGAAAAAATAAAACTCAAGCCGAAGCAACTCGAGTCCTGCCCGGTTGCCGGCTGTCCTGTTTTGATCCTGTTTTGGTCCTGGCAGCAATACAAATAATGAAGATAAAGAGAAAAAATATATAGAAAACAAAATTTCACTAAACTCCACTGAAAACAGCAGCCGCGCTGGTCAGAGGAATTATAATAAAATGTTGTCACAAACTTTTTCAGTTGTTGTTTTTCTCGTTGTTGTTGTTCTTGTTGCAGCATAGAAAAACGTACAAAAATCGCACAAAAAAAAAGAAAAGAAAAACAAAATAAACTCCCAAATAATAACAACAACTTTTCAAATTAAACTTTATCCAATTTTAGCATATTAAAGTTGGGCAAACAAAAACCAATTCGTGAGCGGCATTTAAAAGAGTTTCCACACACACACATACACACACACAGACACAACACACACACCCTCGCATTTATACAGTTAGTTTTTAGGCTCTGCTGTAAGAAGCTTAAATTCGAAAACATTTGGCGAAACGCATTTTCCAAATATTTTTCGGGCGAGGCGTGCAGAAAATTGCCTTTGTCCATCTTAATTAATTTACAAATGCCAACAGCAGGCTTTAAAAGGGGAACTGTGGGGTCGTGGCGGGGGGGGGGGGGGGGAGGCGGGTGTTGAATGCGGTTACCAGAGCTAGGCGCTCGTGGTAAGCATGTGACAACAGCTGCGCACAGTGGTACAAAACAATTCAAAGAATTGTCGACCATAAAAAAAAAAAAATAAATAAACAAAATAAATATTTGGCACACATAATATTTGAGAAAAGTAATTTTTTTAAACAACCTCATAAAATTCTTTAAATATTTCAAATACTAAATAATTCCGAAAAAATAGCCAAAAATAATATATTTTCAATTTTAACTAATTCATTTTTTCATAAAATACCAAATATATTTCTTGAATATAAAAATCGCCAATCAAAAAATATTTTCGATTTCAACTAAAGAGCTCTAGAAATTTTTTCAATATTTTTCAACACTAAATTAATTTTTCCTGCATATGCAAAAATACCAAATAAAATACCAAAAATATATTTTGCATTCAAACTGAGTAATTTTTAAGGAAAAAGTACTGGAAATTCTTAAAGCATGTTTAAATATTTGCGGTATTTTTACATACAAAATATTTATTTACCTGTATATATAAAAAAATAAGCCATTAAAAACTTACTGCCACACTTTCTAGAAATTCTTTAATTATTAAAAACATTTTCCAGCATATTTAAGATGCAATTTAAAATATATTTTCAATTTGGACAAAGTAATTTTTTCCAATAAGTTCTTGAAATTCTTGGCAATACAACAACACTCACACTTTTAAGTATGGCAGCCACATGTTGTAATTCCAACAATTTGAGCACTCTCGTACCACTGTGCAGCGAGCGGGCTCAGTTTTAGGATCCTTGTCATTCTTAATTTTGGCCTCTGCGCTGTTGGCTGACGTGAGAACAGGCAAAAAAAATCTTCAACTCAAATTGCCGCTACCAATTTTTAATGGTTCTGTGACAAACGGTCACACTTTTGCCAAGTGTCACAATGTCCTGGACATGATTTGTGTGTGTGTGTGAGTGTGACAAAGGACTTCGATATGGTGTGTGTTGGCGGCGCCTGTTTAATGTGCGACATATTTTGGCTGTCAGGCAACGGCGAGCGAACCTTTTTGGGGCGAAGGTCCTTTTTTATGAGCTGCAGCCCAACAATAAAAATTAAACAAAAAGGATTTGGGCTTATAAAAACGTAACATAATTGTTTGTCCTTACGCCCGACAGCTGCACAATATATAAAATATATATAATTTGAAAGCTAACAAAAAATATTGCTGGCCATTTGTTACAGTTGTCAACCAGAAGTACACGGTGCAGGTGCACGACGAATACGTGATGACGGGCAACACGGCGGTGCTGAAATGTCAGGTAAGCCAAGCAGACGGCTCCAGGTGGAGCTGCTAGCGCTCTTCGGGATCTCTGCCACTCAGCCACAAAATGCACTTTAACACGCAAATTAAATTTAACTCGAGCTGATCAAATTTGCTTAACTCTCCGTCTCCCCGCTCACCTGGCAGGTGCCCAGCTACATGTCGGAATTTGTAATGGTCACCGCCTGGGTGCAGGACACGGGCATGCATCTGTATCCAAACACGGACATTGGCGGCAAGTACACGGTCCTATCCAATGGCGAATTGTACATAAATAATGCGGGGCCCAATGATGCGTACAAAAGCTACACATGCCGCACTGTAAATAGACTGACAGGTACGTGATAATCACATTTTCAGCTTAATCGTCCAGTCAGCAATGCTCCACTGCATCCTTCCTGCATCCCTTCCTCTCTTCTGCTGCTGCTGCTGCTGCTCCAGCTGGTGGCAAGCTCTGTTGCCACATAATTAAGTTGAATTAATTAGCAGCTTGGGGGGCATGGCTTGCTATGAAAGTTATACCCGGCTTATAACTGGGACAATATTAAAATTGAATGCCATCAACTTGGTATTTTGTGAAATTGCTTTTCATCAGCTTTTTGTGCAGCAAATAGAAAAGTTTTGCCCTACTCTCAAGTAGGTCGAACATTAAAATTTGGTTGCATAATTGAGGTTATCTTTAGTTAAGCTATTGAATATGCATAGGAAATTGAACTTCGATTTTCTTTTTGTATAAGCTTTGAGCTAGGAGGAAATACAGCTTTTGCAACACAAAGTACTGCAGGTTCCATTGTGTTACCAAAAGCTTGCTTTAACCCCACATAATTTTATCTATAAGCTTTAATTTGTTAGTTCATTAAATTTATTATAATATAAATATCAGAAATATCAGATATATACTATTTTTGACCCATACTGTCTCTGCACAAAGGAAAACAAAAAGTAAAAAGTTAAAAGACTTTGGAAAACGATTGTAAACAATCTTTTCTTTTTCGTCTGTTAATTTACAAGACATATTTTAAACATTCCAATTTGAGATTTCACGAAGTATGTTAAATAATATTTTCTATTTAAATGCAACTTTTCTATTTTCATTTTGATTAATTTCAAAACGGGTTTTCCATTTAACCTAATATGCTTACAATTGGAAATGGATAAATAGGGTATTATGTTTTGGTGTAAATGTCATAAAGTATATATATTCTTGATCAGCATAGCAATAGCCGAGTCGAATCAGCCATGCTGTCTGTCTGTTCGTCCGTCTTTCTATAGGTTCGTATGTATGAATGTATGAAACCTATAAGATCTAGAGACTTGAAATTTTCAATGTAGGTCCATAATTTATACCTGCCCGCGCAGCACAAGTTTATCCCATAATCGATAACTTTCCCCGTTTCTAAGCCATCGATAAAAATCTATAACAAAATACTGTTCTTTTAGCAAATCGCATAGGTTTCAAGAACTACAATCACCAAATTTTACATGTAGCTTATAGAATGGTATATACAGATAAAATATCGCACATCCAATCCTAGCGTGAGCTGCATTTGGTAACTGTAGAAACAGGGTGTCTCCTAGTCGGGCACTCCCGTTTGAGTTTTTTTGTCTGGTCGTTAGTTCTTGTAAAATTTTGGCATAGTTTTAATTAACTTTAAGCTTTTAGCAATGCAAACGTTATCATTATTATAAACTTCTTAGTTATTTTTGAGTTACCATAAATTCTTTTTAAGTTCCGTTTTTAATATGTAAACTTGGCCTTAAGTTTCTTCAGTTTTCATTTGAAATGCGCCAAATTCCTTTGTGTATTACGCAGTGTTATCTTGTTTTACCATCAAGAACAGCAAATTATTTGCACAACAATTTGTTGTTGTTGTTTTTGTGTGTGCGCGTGTGTATGTGTGTGTGTGTGTGAATATCTGAAGTTTATAGTTTATAGCTGTTGTCCAAGTCAATTTCAGTTTTGTTGTGCATAATTTATGATGTGTGACATTCAATCGCCGGCAAAGAAGGGCCAATGCGCCAGGGAGCTGCTGCCAGAGCAAAGCCAACTGCAGACGCACACAAAGATATATATAGAGAAAGAGACAGCGAGAGTAGAGAGAGAGACAGAGAGAGAGAGAGCAAGATAGAGATGAATTGTATACGTGAAGAGATCTTTTTGTTGCGTGTATCTTGTGCTTATTTGAAGTTTATTGTGTGTGAAAATACGCTTAAGCTGAATTTCTATTAGCCTTTTGTGCGCACATAACACATCATCAATCAATACGATAAAAGTTTATGCTCCCCTCCTTGCTTGTGTGCCTGTGTGTGCGTGTGTGTGTGTGTGTGCCTGGGCAAAGTTTGTTCACAGTTCGCTGCAAGTTTAATTTGTTTTTTCCTTTAGAAACCAGCTGACCCCTGGCTTGTGCTCTTCTGATTTCTCAAGCACTTGTTGAAATTTAAAAAAGAAGTATTTATACATATATATACTTTCAATTAATCGGCCATTGTTGTAGCGCACAATTTGGCCTTAAGTTTTTGGCCAAAAACCGCAAAAGCCGCAACCAAAACCCAACCCAATTTTTGGCATTTCGAGTGTGCGTGCGAGTGTGTGTGTGTGTTTGTGTGTAAGCCGCCGCATATTAATTACCAGTGCACTACACATAACCAAGGCTAAACAATGCCCATTCAAGTGACCAACACACAACACACATACACACTCGCACACAAACAAGCACACAAACAAGCGCACACACACACTCGCAGTCGGACATTAAAAACTGCTTAGAGTGCACTCATTAAAAGTGTAACATGAAACAGTTCTGGCTGCTGGCCAGAGAGCTAGCTGGTCATAACTAATTCATTTAACAAACACACTCACAGACAGATACATACACACACAGAAACACACATATACACACACACAGGCATGCACATGAGCTACGCTTAATTTAAGCGCGGGCTTTACCTGGCGCGCACAAAAGTAGGCAACAGTTTTTGTCTCTCTCTCTCTCTGTGTGTGTGCTGTGGGCTGTGGGCTATGCTGGCAGCTATGTCTATGCTATGCTGGCAGCGCATAATTACAATTTAAACCAAAAATCCATTTATTTTGCACAATAACGGGCACAACAATGGCGGCTAACAATAATACGACTGCTAATGCACAATGGAGCAATGAGACAGGAGGGAGGGGCGTAGAGGGGGGGGCTGTGCAAGGGCAAAGGGCTGTACCTGATGATGATGTTCGAGTAAAATTATAAATTAAATTGCGCAGCACCAACAGAGGCAGACAGAGCGAGAGAGAGAGAGAGAGAGAGACAGACAAAAAGAGTGTGAGAGAGAGAGAGAGAGAGAGCGTGAGTGCAAGGACAATAGACCGAACATTGGAAACAGATTTTGTTGGCCCAATGGCCCACTAAACGCGCTCCTGGATTAGATGTCATATTGGATTAACACAAATAGAAACGAATGCGACCACATGCTTTAAAGCAGCTGCCATTTAAGTCCATAGTTGCAGGTCGGCAAGGTCACAAAGTGAGGGGGAAAATAAATAAATAATTAAATAACACACATTAAATAAAGCTAATATAAGTACAACTTAAATACACTGCCAGAAATACTATGTTATTGAATAACAACAATTGATCTAAAAGATAAATGCTAAAACTCTTAAAAACTGTTCTTAAACCAATTCTACTTTTTGATCTACTCTATTCTGTTGTCACAGTGTGACCAGCTGTGATTAGATATTTCTAGATATAAATTCTTCTTAATATACGTAGAAAATATTGACTTGATAAGGTCAAAGGCAAAAACTGAAATTACAGGATCTGTGTAAACTATACGAGCATCTACATCCAAAATTTTCGACTCCAGCGTTTTATAGCTACGAGATTAGCTAAAAAAATGAGTTATCGGTTCTTATCGATATCAGCTAAACGGAGCGAGTTATCGATTACGTGACTATCGCAGCTTAAAGTCTGTAGCTATTGTGCTAAAGCTCGAGATGCCATCTTCTTCTAGAGATGTGCTCAAGATACAGAAGGCGTTATCGGTTCTTATCGATTTCAGTTAAACGAAGCGAGTTATCAATTACGTAAAACAAACTATCCGAAGATTGTAGCTATTGTGCTAAAGCTCGAGATGCCATCTTCTTCCAGATACGCGTGCACAGAAAACATTATACGATTTGTATGCTCTTGTAGAGGGTATTATAATTTTGTCATGAAATGTGTAACGCATAGAAGGAGATATCTCCGACCGTGTTGATATAGTCATGTCTATTTCTTCGCCTGTCTGTTTCTATCTGAACTTGTTTCTATGTTCCCCTTAAAGTTGTCCGTTTTAAACGAAATTCCACCTTAAATTTATCACTGCAGATTTGTATGGAGTTTTCTATAGATATCCAAAAATACATATATTCATTTGACACTCGACACCTTTTTCGAACTGAGCCTAAGGGCAGGGTATTATAATGCGCATGCATAATAAAGCAGGCAAAAGTGTATCCTGCTTCCGGTCTGACCCTGCTGCTGACCTCCCTGGCGCACGCAATCAACTTGATTGCTTTTATTTACTTTTAATTAATTAAAAAAAAGTATGTATACCATATATATATAAATTGATGTGCTGCCATCAATTTGGCAAAGAAGCCGCGCACTTAAATCTAACCAAAAAGCGCGTCGCGCTGTCAGCTGCCACTTGTTAAAATTGCCAGACACATGTTTACCTTTAACCATTTGCGTTTTCTCTTACTTTTGTTTTTTTCGTTTTCTGCAGGTGAAATACAAATTTCGACATATCCCGGCCGCATTATTGTCACAGAGCCCAAGGGCATGGTACAGCCGCGCATTAACGTCGAGAAGCATTCGATGCGGCATGTCGTCCTTAATGGCCAAACAACGTTGCCGTGCATTGCTCAAGGACATCCGGTGCCGACATATCGGTGAGTAGCCAGCAAAAAAACAAAAAAAAAACAAACAAATAAGATTATCAACCAATCAATAAGATCGTACCGACTGCGTAATACGCTTTCTTTTTGCTTAAAGCAGACTAGCTGTTAAATTTGTAGAGGGATATCAATCTTGTTGATATGCCACGCCCTTGCCAAACCTTAAAGGAGCTCATCTGTAGTCTAGTTTAGTTGGGTGAACTATGGAAGATATAGATTTGCCCGATTTTCCACTTGTATATATATGTGTATATAATCTCAGGTCAGATGGACTCTTGGACATTGCCTAAAACGAATATACTTCTTTGACTCTTTCAACTTGTATTAAAACACACACACACAGACACAGACAGACACACAGACACCCCGTGGCAACCGCGAATATTTTTTTCTCGTGTCACAGGTCACATCTGGCGGAGGGGTAAGGGGAAGGGGGCGTGGCTGAGTGCGGGGTCGCGCACACACAGTTGCCGCGCATTTTATGACACAATGTGAAATATTTAGCACGCTCCCCCCAAAAAAAAAATAAAGAAAACAAAAATAAAATAAAGCAAAAAGTGTGCGCAGAAAAAAAAAAGTGGAAAACATAATAAAAATGTCAGGCAAATTGTCAAATGTGAAAGCTCACCGAAAAATGCAGCAGGTTGTGTGAAAGTGTGTTATGGATAGTTAAACAAGCAGCAGCAGATATTTAACATAGAAATTGCTGTGTCACGTTCGCGCAGCAAAGATACAGAGATTGAACATACATATATTGAGCATATACAAATATATAAATCCTAGATATACTTTAAAAGCAATACCAAGTTTCCGAGCGGGGATTTGTGTACCAAATTCCTGTGCTTGGGGTGGGTTATATAAGATCAAGACCTAAATATGTGTTGAAATTTTTAAAATTTAAGAATGAAGTCAATATTTGAATACAGGAGAAAAATTAAGGAAGAAGTCGCTGTATGTGTATACACAAATAAATAAGTCGAAAAAAAGTTTATTATATTAATAAACATTAATAAAATCCATAAAAATAGCTGCAGTAGAGGAAAAAGGATCTGAAAGTAAATTTAGTAGAACTTCCGTAGATCTTTTAGAAAGCTTATAAAATATAAAATAAATAGAAAAAAGAAAGACATTCATCTGCACGCCGAAGATTCTATACCCTTGCAGACATACAGCAGATGTGAGAGTCTCTACAGAAAGTCTACTTTTTACTAATTGCTCCTAGAGGCTTTATTGAAGACATGTTAGTAAAACTAGCCATAGGTGCGCTTAGAAACAATAGATATCTTGAGAAAATAAAAACAGTTTTTCTATAAGAACTTCATTTTGCGATCGATCCTACCTATGACAGCTATATGATATAGTTATCCGATGTTGATAAGATTATGAATATATATGAGGGGCATCGTGAATCTAATAAATGCCGAGTTTACCCAAGATATCTTAAGAAACCAAAGAGTTTTCCATACAAGGGCCTACTTTTCGACCGATCGTTTCTATGGCAGCTATGTGATATAATAGTTCGATCTGGTTTCAACATCATCAGAAAGACGGACCTATGCAAAGTTGAAAGACAATAGCTTTAAAACTGAGAGACTAGCTCGAAGGCAGACGTAGAGAAGGACATGGCTATATTAACTCTGCTGTTGCTATACGGATCAAGTATATATGTTATATAATTTATGGGGTGGAAGATGTGTTCTTTTATGCGTTACACATTTAAGGACAAATTTGTAATATGATTCTCTAAACGGAATCTCTACGACATAGAAGCTCTGAGGATTAAGAAGCTATACCCAATCCTACTATACCCCAAGAGGGTATCATATATATGTATATACCTGTATCTATCTGTTAAGAGTATTATAATTTTGTCATGAAATGTGCAAAGTATAGAAATATACATCTTTTTCTTTCGCTCGTTCCCATATCAGCTATTTATATCCCATTTATATTCAAGACACCTCCAAGGCGCTCGACTTTAAGGATATTTCAACTTCACTTTTCCGCAAACAAAAAAGTCTAGTATATGATTTTATTATAACAATTTGACAGCTCAGTTGCTCGGCTCAATTCATAACGTGTGTTCTCACACAATATTCGAGCATGTTCTGCGATTAAACGAGCTCCTTTCGCTCCACACCCCCCCCCCCCTCCCCTTCCCCTGCTGTCGCTCTGCCGCCCTGGGGCGCTGTCTAGCTTGACTTTCGACACGATACATCAAATATTGTTTATTGAGCCACTCGAAACTCTTGTCACAATCGCTGGCATTCATCTGGCAGGAGTCTTTGAGGCGTTATGGAGATTTCCCCGGGGCCAGTTCAAACAAATTTCTTTGCCCACTTTTATTTTTTCTGTTTTTTCTGTGTGTCAAGCACAAATCAATCAAATGAGCAACGTTTATGGCCAAAATGGCAAATTGCTTGCTGAACGGCCCCGTTCAAGTTGAAGGACAGCTCGTCGAAGCTGCGCTGGCACAGGTAATCACAGGACACAGGATACTTGCCACTCGTCCACTCGGCCACTCGTCCACTCGGCCACTTGGCTCATCATCATGGCAAATGCTCGAGTGCTAAAACATGCATTGCTTTTTATGGTGGCCGCCAGGACGCAATGTAACAGGATAATGGGTCATTGTAGCTGCTTGGTGGTGTCCTTCGTAGTGCATGCATAAAGGATGCGCCAGGATACGCCACGTTATGCGCTGTTGCCGCTGTCACGGCGCATATAAACCAAAAGTACCCTGCCAGAGGGTATTTTAAATGGGTCATGCAGGAAGGGGACTTTTTTTTGACTATATCTGAGACTGATTAAGAGACTTATTATATCTCTCTATATATATATATATATTCCTGCTTGATAAACAGACCTAACAGACTTCTTAAATTGAACATAGATATTCTTGAAGAACTCACATCAACAGATATGTTCTTTAGCTGCAGACATTGTATATATGACATTTGTGAGCGGATCGTCCTACTATAGCCTATAGCTATATGTAACCTACAGCTGACCTGAGAACGATCGATTTAAAGTTGAGCTCTTGTTAGAAGAATCTATTTGCTTTTTAGATATTTTAATCAGACTTCGAGCTATAAACATATCAGCAACACATTATCAACAATAGATTACTCTATCAAATATCTCCTAAAAAATTTAATCGGTCAGAATTAGAGTTCTATAAATAGTCAATATTTTAAATATGGTTTAAACCAAGCAAATGTTGAGCTGAAACAAAACCAAGGCATAAAACACCTTAGGTGCCAGCCAACTTTATTAGATATTCTATACTTGATATTCTAGGCCGCATTTTGTATTTGAATTTATTTACGGCTTGAAATATTTTCAGTACAACGGGCCATGGTAAAAAAAAATGTAATTAATGCATAAAAATGTTGTAAATATAAAGCAAAGCAGGAGTTGAGGCCAAACTTGAACAAACCGAAACCTAAATTAGGTAATTGGCTTGAAGCCTGAAACAATCAAAAGAATATTTCTTGTTGGCTTTGCAGCACCGATATATCCACATATCTCATATAGATGAAATATGTCAATCAGTGAAAAATAGGATTTGGATATATAGAATTTTCTAGCTTTATGTTTTTTAGGGCATCATAAATTCGACATGCCGAAAATATAGCTGCCCGCTGGTTTTGTTTGCTATTTGATGTCGCCTGCTGAGCGACGACCAAGACCAAGACGACAACAACAACAACAACAAAAGCCACAACAACAAAAGGAAACAACAACAAAAGCAACAACAACAACAACATTTGGTTGCCAGCGAGGCGACAACAACGCCAACTTTTGTTTTGTGCTCTGCGGTCTGCTGCTCTGCTCTGCTCTGCTCTGCTCGGCTGCTGCCGTTGCAGCTGCATTGTTTTGCTGCAAGGTCCGTATCCTGGTTGTCCCGCGGTGCTGCTTGCCGCTTGCCTCTGCTCATAAATGTTTAAATATTTGCCATGTTGCATGACGCGGTTGCGGTTCGCCTCGTCTTCTGTTGGCATAGAAATATTCTGGGAAATCATTTTTTATTGCATAGTTTTTCGGCGCCCGCGCACCTTTTGTTCGTGCCCCTCGCATATAGTATATATATGTATTTCGATTATATTGCTGCATATGGCTGAGTTGCTTGACGCATTTTACCATGATTTTAATTAAGACAAAAATGCCCAGGCAACTCGCATATGCAACCTGCAATTTGCAACGTGCCACGCGCCGCGCACCGCATGCCATAAGATGCGATACGCACTCAAGTGCAATTAAAGCCAAATTAAAATCAATAACTTGATTTAAAATGCACAATTCGCATTGCTGCTGGTTTGGGGCCAAGGGGCTGACGAGCTGCAACAGCATCAGGGGGCAGCAACAGGGGGCAGGGGCAGGGGCAGACGTCCTTGCAGCATCAAACAGATTATGGCACGCGCTTGCGAAATGCGTTTCGCTGTTGTTGATTTTCGCAATTGATATTTTTACAGCATTCAAATTAAAAATAATCAAGAAAAATATGAAAACGGATTGCATTTTTCCCAACGTACAAAACGAAGTGGAAATGCTCTTTAATTGGAAAATTTGCGAAAAACTTGCAAATTGGCAGCAATCTTCAGTTTCAGAGAGGGAGTGAGAATGGGAGAGAGAGGGAGAGGAGGAGAGAGAGGGAGAGGAGGAGAGAGAGGGAGAGGAGGAGAGAGAGGGAGAGAGAGGGAGAGAGAGAGAGAGAGAGAGAGAGAGAGAGCGAGAGCGAGAGAGGGAGAGGGAGAAAGATCGAAAGAGAGGGAGAGAGAAAGATAGTAAGACAGAGGGAAAGGGAGAGAAAACGAGACAGAGAACAAAATATTGATAGAGAGAAAGAGAGAGAGACTTAATAGCAATAATAAATAGGATATTTGAGGTCCAATTATTACCTAAATTTTGACTAAAAATAATGCTGCCAGATTTAGATGAAATATTGATCTAGAGACCAATCCATGAACAAAGATCCAAACCTCGTGAAAATCGGATGAGATTTTTCCGAGTTATAGGGTTGGGAAATGTCTATATATGAATCTTGGGGTAAGATTTTGACATGAATTTCGACTAAAAAATATGTGTTCAGATTTGAATGCCAGATTAATCTAGAGGGAAAACCATGAAGAAAAAGCCAAACCTCGTGAAAATCGGATGAGATTTGACCGAGTTATAGGGAAAATTTTGAGCTATGTCAATCTACGAATCGTGGGGGACGATTTAAGAATAATGTTAGAGGTAGAGGGGGATAGAGAGAGCGAGAAAGAATGAGACAGAGAGAGAGAAGATTTTTATTTATGATTTAAATGAGCTCTGTAATAAATTTAAATTAAAATAGATATTAGAGTTGAGTTTATATTGCAAATCGATTATTATCGATAACATTAGAGTCGTAAAAATCGATATCAAGCTTATAACAAGGCAAATAGAAATAAAAAGCTCTAATAACTCTCCTGTAAACACGGTTAAAAATAGGAGACGCTTTAAAAATTGATTGAAAAACAAACCCAGAGAAAAAGTCCTGCCTTTAAAGGCGCACATTATGTTGCATGTTGCACAAGCTTTGTCGGCCGTTGGGCATACCCCGAATGGGAAGAGTTTATCATAAATACTCGTTAAATAAGGCAATCGAAATGCAATCCTGATTGCGACGACCTTTCGTCCTGATCCGCACTCGGCGTCCATTCAACTGCAACACTTTATATGCTTATTTTTTATTAACATTAACCCCCTCCAACCCCCATCCCCCCGCCGGTCTGCACATTATTGAAGTGCGGTAATCATTTTGCAATACTATTGAAAATTATTGAATGCATTCTCGAGCTGCTGGGATTCGCTCAACAAGCGGGCAATCATCGGGGGCCACAGTGGGCAATTTTTATTGATAATGCAATCGACATATTAATTTGATGAAGACAACAAAGGAACGCTCAACTTTAATGAAATGAATCAATTGTTGGCCCTTTGTTTGGCTCGTTTGCTCAAAGTATCTTTGTATCTTTTCATTTGTATCTCTCAGCTGGTTCAAGGAGGAGAACGAGCAGCTGCTGCCGCTGCAGCTCAGCGAACGCATAACCATTGTATCTGCGGGTCTGTTGAAAATCACCAAGGTATGTGCGCTCCTCTATCTAACCATAAATCCCCCCCCCCCCCCCCATCACTCCTTTCCACCATGGTCGGCTGCAAAATGAAAGCCAAATATTATGATTGCCATTGATTTATGCCATTGCAGGCCCGTCTCGAGGACAGCGGCAAATATCTGTGCTGGGTCAATAATACGGCGGGCGAGGAGACCATCCAAGTGTCGCTCACGGTGACAGGTTTGTATCCGACCTCTGGGCCTGGAACCCCCCTCCCCCCGTATATGCTATGATAACTGGTTTTTCGCACACAGCTCCGTTGACCGCACATCTGCAGCCGCAGGTGCAGACCGTTGATGTGGACAAGGATGCACAATTCCAATGCATTGTCTCTGGCCATCCCGTGCACGATGTCAACTGGCTGCACGACGGCAAGCCCATATTGCGCGACAATCGCGTCGAGGTGGGTGCCTCTTCTCTCCCCCATCCCTCAAATCCCAACTAATCAAATAACAATTGCAGATACTCACCGATCCGGCGCGTCTGATCATCAAGAAGGTGCAAAAGGATGATCCGGGCATGTATCAGTGCTTTGTGTCCAACGAATGGGAGCAAATCCAATCGACAGCTGAGCTTCAACTGGGCGGTAAGTAATATTATTTGTCACAGCACATATATAAATTAAATAGCCACAAAGCCCATTTTCTATTTGTCATAAATTAACGCTTCCATGGCCATAAATGGGCGCACTTCTCGCCGCACACAGACAAACACACCCCGCCCCCCCCCTTCCTTTCTCCCCCCTCCCCCCGCGTGGGTGTTGCCAATTTGCTGGTTGCTCAAATCAAAAGCGAAATAAACGTCGCTTGATGACCGCAACAACCGCACAAATAAATGTTTGTCATAATTGCATTTCATTAATTTCTAATTTAGCAAATTGCTCGCATTTTGCAACAACAACCAAAAGCAACAACAAGAACAACGCGCAGCAGCCATAAAACGCAGGCTGGCAACTTAATTTTATTAGCAGCACTAAAATTCTAGCCATCAGTGTTGAGCAACAGCTGAGTGCCCGACTGAGTAGCTGTGACTGACAAAGAACGTTTGAAACTGTGTCTTCTAATCACGAGTGACAGGAGCAGTTGCGATATTAACTGTGACAGTCACAGTTTCGACATTAACCGTGACAGTCATAGTTAACAGTGACTCACAGTTCCAATAATACCCGTGACAGTCGCAGTTCCGATATAAGCCATGACAGTCGCAGTTCCACAGTTAACAGTGACAGTCACAGTTCTGGCTTTAACAGGTTAGATATATGTTAACCAGTTGAACATATATCTAAACAAATATTGACGTTAGACATATTCATAGTTAGTAACAGTATTCTAAAGAAACAGTTACTGTTTTCACTGTGACTGCAAAATGTGGCGCATCTCTAATAACCACATTCACTAAAACCCAAAGCACACACGCTCAGCTGCGCCTAGAGCCAAGCACATTGTTACATTCAGCAGCTCGGGGCCAAAACACACACGCACACTTACACACAAACTCACAAACTCACACGCACACTTACACTCACACACACACACACACACACACACACGAACTCAACTAGACAGCAGGCGGTTCAGATTCGCGCTTTGTCGCTTTTGGCGGCTTTGGCAACGTTTCTGATTTGCTTTTAGGCACAAACGGAAATTGATTTCGATATATTATTGGCTTGCTTACACCCCCAAACACACACACACTCACACACAAACACACACACACACACATATATGCTGTGGTGTTAAGAGCTGCTGCTGCTGTGCGGCGCAAGGCCCAACCACAAAATTGCGCCGGCATCCAACGCAGCGCCATTAAGCGGCCGGATATGGCAGCAATTGTGTCAACTGAGTGTGCCTCTCTCTCTGTGTGTGTGCGTGCGTGTGTGTGTGGCAGCTTATAACTGGCAATGTCGCCTTCGCGTAGATATTTTCATCGGGGAAATTCTTGTGTCGCTGTCGTTGGGCGGAAATTGATACAATTTTCATCAGCTGGATAACATTTGCTCGCTTGTCAAATGCATTTTCCGCTGCGCTCCTAAGGTCAAAGTCAAAGCAAATCTGAAAAAGCATTTTCCCAATCTGATTTTGATTGCAAGCAAAGCGCACAACATACAACATATCTAAATAAATATAAATGGAAGCAGAAGCAAATGTTATATGAGATTGGCTCTGCTGGGAGATGCACTTCCATTCAGCTGCTGGCAAATCGCACAAAATACACAAAATAAAAGTAGAAGCTGAAATTCATACAATTTGCTATATATGCACTTCAAATCAGCAGCTGGAAAAATCTGGCCTCTTCCATTTAGTCGATTGCGTGGCTCGGCTAGATTTATGTTTTAGATTTAATTGGATTTCTTAATGCAATTAAATTCTATTTTATTAAGTTATATCTATGCTTGACTGTAAAGTATATAAATACGAAAATTGAATTAATTAATTAAATTTGTAGATTTTAACAAAAATTTTGATGCCTATTTGTGCTAGAATTAATTTGCTAAATTTAAAATTTATCTATGAATATATCAGGGCACAAACCGCACAATATGAAAGGCAATATTCGTCCTAAATTTAAATTAATATCTCACATGAAATCTGCTAAAGAGCTGCATTTTAGGTTAATATCTCATATGAAACGTATTTAATAAACTGCAGTCAACACATACACACACACACACACATAAACACGCACACTCAAAAGCACACACACACTCTCAAACATACCTTAAAGCGCGCTCATTTATGAAATACCCTTTAACCAGCTGCAAGCTATGCAACATAAGGTTTAAGCCAAGTCTCCGACCCTCACACGCACACACACACACACACACACACAGAGAGAGCGAGAGAGAGAGAGCCTTAAGCACTAAATATATGCCATAGTCTAAACCGTATCACTATCTTTATCTCTGACTATTTTAGATGCTTCGCCGGAACTGCTTTATTGGTTTTCGGAGCAAACACTGCAGCCGGGTCCAACGGTATCATTGAAATGCGTTGCCACCGGAAATCCACTGCCGCAATTTACATGGTCTTTGGACGGATTTCCGGTAAGTAGGGCCACCACAGTTGCGCCCCAACTTGACAGCGTAAGAGAAGGGGAGGGGGCAGTGCTTGGGCTAAAGTTCACACACGTACTGAGCACTTACTTAGCAGCAGCAGCAGCATCAGCAGCAGCAGCAGGCGCAAGCGGAAATGCAGGCAGCGTTTCCGTTTCCGCAGCTATCGTCACATGCGAGCTGATGATGATGGAGTTGCTTGTGCCACACACACACACACACACACGCACACCCAAGAATATGCACAAATGTTCACGAAAAGCGTGAACAGCTAGTTTTTTCTTTTCTTTTTTTCCAGCATAGTTCTACCCCCCGCATGCCGACCCATGGCTTTTGCTTTGCTTTTCCTACACTTGATTCTTTCTTTTTATTTTACTTTCTTTTCAAGCATTTTTTTTTTGCTGTACTGCGCTCTGTAGTTCTTGGCCTGGTCCATGGCGCATTTTCAAGGATTTGTTTCGTTTATTTGCATAAATTTCCATTTTCTTTTTCCATTCACAGCAAGAGCAAGCGCTTGCCTTGCCATTGCCAGGAATAACCCCCCTCCCCCCCCCCCTCACACTCCTAAGCCTAGTGTAAATTTGATGCAATTTCAATCAATTCGATTTACATGAATTTTTTATAGTTGTTCTGCCGTTTTTCTTCAGAATTTTCTCACTCGCTGAATGAAAGAATTTCCTTTATCGTCTAATTGCCAAATATACAGCTATTTTTTTTTTGTGACTATATTTGATATATTTTCTGGTACTGCTTCTACTCCATATAGATACCAGACAGCTCTCGCTTTTTAGTGGGTCAATATGTTACCATACACGACGATGTCATCAGCCATGTAAATATCTCAAATGTCAAGGAGGAGGATGGCGGCGAGTACTCCTGCACGGCGCAGAACGCGATTGGCAAGTGAGTCGCTGTACTTCCATAAATAAAATACACACATACACATACACACATGCACACATACACACTCACACATACAGTTAAATATAAAAACCTGTGCTCTCTGATAGGGGTTAAAAAAATATTTCCATGCTAAATCATAAATTTAATTGTGGCATAGCATAGAAAAAACAATGTATAGACATGAAATGCAGCTAAACATTTTGCACGACTTGCAGATGCCCTGCAAATATTGCTATAAAAATACTCTAGTAACTGAGCTTAAAGTTGTTTAAAATGTTTTTTACTTAGCTAGCAAATAAACGCTTCCCTAACTGAAGCTTAAACTTATATTGTCAAAGCCTGCTAGTCTTTTTTAAATTCTTGAGAATCGCATAGTAGGGCGATAATTTTAAAAACGTTATTTTCTTAAATACGCAGCTCAGCGGGTCTTAGACTTGGTTTGACTTTGACATAAGAGAATATACAATCTATCACGCATCATGAACATACATAGACACATAAATATTATGCACATCCAATTTTCCAGCCAGGGCAGTGGATTATCCGAAAAGTGCGAATTCAGCAGATCGAGTACCAAGAAAATGGGTTATTATATTTTTTTTATAGTAATAACAATTTTTTGTGGGTTGAAAGAATTTTAAAGAAAATATAATGCTGCCTTGATTCAAGTTCGGAATTGGAATTTCAAGTTCGAATGGGTTAGGTTAAAATCGCTGGTTCAAATCCGACTAAAGCCTTGCCTTGTAAATTAACTGCTGTTACTATTCTAAATCTTTCTTCGACTTACAAATATGACGACTTAACATACCCTATGTTATGTGAATACCAACTGCATGCAATAGTGAACATATGCTGTGTTCCCTTACTCTAGGTTAGCATAGGGTATAAGAACAATGGAACCGCATTGTTTGCAGGCAAAAGCGACATAAAATTCAAACAATTTGTTGAGTCAGGCTTTTTAGCTGCGGCAACTGTGTACAAATGTTGCCCCACACACTCGCACACACACCCACACACACACACACACACACACACCCACACACTCCCACACACACAAGCATGCAGTTTTTTCCCACCCCTTCCCTGCCGCCCCGTTAAATGTTAGTTATGACTTGTGTATGTTTTTTATATCGCCGCAGGGTCTCGCATAGCGCCAAAGTGAACATCTATGGACTGCCTTACATACGGGAAATGCCAAAAATAACGGGAATCTCTGGCTCTGATTTGATTGTTAAATGTCCTGTGGCTGGTTATCCCATCGATAAAATACACTGGGAGCGCGGTAAGCAATTTATTTATTTTACTTTTTTTCCCCTTTATTTGTTTTATTTTAATTTTTTATGTACCGTCGCGCTGCTGCTGGTATTATTAAGTCCATTAAATCCAATACTTTAATTCCGCTTCGGCCCGTTTTCATCATTGTTGTTTGCGTTGCCTTTCGGCCAACGTTTGGTATTAAAAATCTCATGTTTGTTATTGCGCATATCAATGAATATTATTATTAAAACTACGGAAATGAATGCAGCTCGTTCCGTGCTCTGTGCACTTCAGTTTCCATTTTTTTAAAGCGAAATAAATTTGTAGTCTTTAGCCTGGACTAGGAAATGCCCTTTCTAGAGCTCAGAGTTTCACAACTTTGACTAAACTGAAACAATTTTTAGGCTCGTGGTCAGGCTCAGACATCTAATACACGATTTTCTAATCCTACATTTCTTTTTACTCGTACAAATCAGGCCGTTCAATCAACTCATTATTAATTTTCCCAAAACGGAGTTAATTTTAAACTTAAAATTTGTTGATTTCAATCTAGTTTTCTAGAGTTTTTCTAATCCAAAATCTTTCCACTTCGGACCTCAATTATCCGAGTTATGGACAAAAGTTTTTTAAAAATCGTATAATTTGAATATCTCGGGTAAACAAGGTGCGATTTTCGAGTGTTATACCTATTTTTATTCGTATAGATAAGGACTTTCAAAATTAGACAAATTTGTCAAATATAGCAAGGGATATTATCACAAGGTTTCTCAAAATGGGATAGGTTCTGAAATCAAAACTCCTTGATTACATTCTTAATTTTCAAGAGTTCAAAAAGACATATTTCCCTTTAAGATCGAACTATATTTAAATGAACAATCACTCTATAAGTTTCACTTTCCACCCATTTTCCGCCCAATATTAAAATTCACCCGTACCACACCCAATTTCACCCCGCGAAGCGGATTTGCCACAGTTACGCAATGTGAAACTTGTCAAAAAGAGGCGCAGCACATCTTGAATGCATTTCTACACAGATATTCGAAGAAAAGGATTTCAGTCTGCAAAAAAACAATACATGGAATACCCCTAGTCCACACATATTTCAGCTCTTTGTTTGCTATGTACAACATTTTTAAACGTTTGCGCGCAAAACAAATAAATAATAAAAGATTATAAATAGCCAGCCATAAATTGCGCAAGTTTGTTTTATGTGAGTGAAATTAATTGCCGGAAGTTTCGGGTATTTTCTTCTTTTCATATTATTTTCATGGCTCGCACAAAAAAAAAGATGGCCAAACCCTGCCCATAAATCGACGACAACGAGCCTATAACAATGGCACCTTAATTATTGAGCAGCTGCAGCGACTGGAGGATGCCGGCACGTACACGTGCATGGCACAAAACAAGCAGAAGCAGACATCCAGGCGCAACGTCGAGATCCAAGTGTTGGGTAAGTTTGCCGCGTGGCGTACGAGGCGTATGCGTAATATGCGATGCTCTCTCGCTCTCTATGTTTGTTGCTGTGCCAATATTCAAATTAGAAAGTTGCTGAAGCAGCAGCAACAACAACAACAACAACAACAACAGCAACTACAATGAAACTATTCCAATTAGAGTGGCAACGGAACTATGCAGCGACAGCCGCAGCAACTATTTCCAGCCTGCCAGCACTTTTTAATGCACAGTAGAACGTGCGGCACATTCTCGGTGGGGGCGTGCCACAATGAAGTCATTGACTCCGCTGCGCTGTGTCTCTGCTGCAGCAGTTGCTGCTGCTGTTATCAGTGTGGCAGCTGTTGCTAAGCCGCATTGATGGCCACGCCCACGCCGCCCCCATCCAGCACACGCCTTGATAATCACGATGGCTTTTGTGGCTTAAGCCAACTTGGCAATTGTTATGAGTTTCGTTTTCATGTATTTTGTTTTTGGCTGCTTAATGATATGCTCAATGTATGTTTATGTCCACTCACACACACACACACACACACACACATACACACACTTGCCTCTTGCAGTGCCGCCAAAAATCATGCCCATTCAGGCCATGACGAATATGCTGCGCGAGGGCATGCGGGCGGCCATATCCTGCCAGATACTGGAGGGCGATTTGCCGGTCAGCTTTCGATGGGAGCGCAATGGCAAGCCGCTTATAGGCACAGGGTAAGCCCCACACACACAGAAACACACAAACACACACACACACAGACACACACATCAATGTCTACACTCAGAGAAAAAGTCTAGTATGCTCAAACTATGAACTTGGTGAAAATTTCTTCGGTTATGCACAAACTTGTTATGAGAAGAACTGTCTTTTAGTCTACTTCATATTTTAATACTTACACTTGAATATAACATATAATATTATAATATCTTTAATATAGAGTATTTGAATATTACTTCAGGGAAAAATATTTTCTTATCAAAAGCTTGACTGTAAGTCCAAGAGAGAGAAAGGTTTAGTTCGCCTCGCCTTGGGCTCAATTCGTGTAGCTTTTTTTTCGTCTACATGAAACAAAGTTTTTGCCTCGATGCGCGATTTTAAGGGTTTATTTTTAAGCCCAGATAGTCACACTTAATTAAAGAATATTCAAAAAAAAAGTACTGTGAGTCTGGGAAGCAAACATTATAAACTCGAGCATAATCGAATTTAGAGCATCGTTTTTCGCTGAGTGTAGCAAATGCGAAAACAGTTTTCACTTATCACACACACACACAAACCGAAAATCCGACTGCAGCAATGAGGTGTTTCGCCGCCTGGACGAGTACTCGGCCAGTCTGGTCATCGAGCACATTGCCTCGGATCATTCGGGCAACTATACGTGCATAGCCAGCAATGTGGCGGGCACGGAGAGATTTACGGTGCCGCTGACAGTGAATGTGCCGCCCAAATGGATACTGGAGCCGAAGGATTCGAGCGCACAGTCTGGCACAGATGTGCTCGTGCACTGTCAGTCCGCGGGCTATCCCAAGCCGACAATAACATGGAAGAAGGCCATCGGGCCGACGCCCGGGGAGTACAAGGATTTCCTGTACGAGCCGAGCGTGCAGCTGTTTCCCAATGGCACCATCTACTTCAAGAAGATCAGCAAGGAGTCGCAGGGACACTTTCTCTGCGAGGCCAAGAACAACATTGGCTCCGGCGTCAGCAAGGTGATTTTCCTGAAAGTCAACGGTGCGTATGGAATTTTGTCACATACCTTTCGGTTATTTATGACACCTCCCCCCCTTCCCCCCCCCAATGACAGTGCCCGCCCATTTTCCAACGAAAACGAAACAAATCTCCGTGGCCAAGGGCAAACAGGTGCATGTGCAGTGCAATGTGCAGGGCGACAATCCAATTGACTTCAAATGGAAAATCCAGGCAACGCAACAGTATCTTGACGAGTCGCTCGATTCACGGTAAGTCTCGTTTACGCAACCACCTACAATTCCCCCCAAATCCCTCTCCCCGTCACGCCTGAAGCTAGTCTGTGGGATTTAACAGCACGCGACACTTGATTAGGTACAGCATGTCATTTGTGGGGACTTGAACATAAATTACTAAAAAATATATATATATACTAGCGAGTATTGCCCGGTCTTGTCCGTGGAACTTTTTGTACTTTAAATATATATATATTAGTTCTATGTAAAAAAAAATCTTTGACCCCCATTTCCACCAAAGAGGAATGGATTTTTCGAAAAGTGTGAAACACCCCTCAAATGATTTCGAGCAAAGATATTTGAAAATGAGTTTGAGGTCGATCAAATTGTAAACAAAGAAGTTTCATACAAACGTTTTTCGCGATTTTTCCACACATGCGGGTGGAATTGCCTAAAACTCATAAGACGGCTTAACGGTTAATCAAGACAAATAGCTTTTTTCTATATATAGAGATATAAACTTTATGTGCATTAGCATATATTCTCAAAAAAAAAATATAATTAATTTCATATTTTAATTTTTAGTTAATTAATAAATTAAAAAATTTAATAATTAGTCTCTTACGAAAAATTGTAATTCGATTTATTTCGGACTTTATTTTCATATAATAATTTGTTTATTTCACTGACCCTATTCAAGTGACCCGGAGTGTTAAAACGTTTGGAAATCAATGCAAATTTTATAATAATAATTAATAAATTAAAATGGTGAATAATTTGTCTCTTACGAATAATGTTGATTCGATTAATTTTGGACTTTATTTAAATCAAATAATTTGTTTACTTCACTGACCCTATTCAAGTGACCCGGAGTGTTAAAATGTTTGGAAATCAATGCAAATTAATAAATTAAAATAGTGAATAATTTGTCTCTTTGTTTACATCAAATAATTTGTTTACTTCACTGACCCTATTCAAGTGCCCCGAAGTGTTTCAAACGTTTTGGAAATCAATTCGCAAGTCGATTGCAAGCTGCAAATTGCTTTTAATTAAAAGAGCTGTGCAAATAGCCAAGTGGGCGGGGGGACACAAACCGAGAGCTGATTCTTAGACCCGTTCGCAAATTCAATTTCCCAGCTGCCAATTTGCCTCTCGACTCGGCATTCAATTCAATTCAGTTATGCCCAAAAAAAAAATCATTGTTAACTGCAGCTCAGCGTAATCAAGGTTTTAACATTTGCATTTTTATTTTGCTGAGCAGATCTAAAAGCTGTTCCCATTTTAGTTGCCTAAGTATTTTCCACTTTCGTGCCTATATCAAGTATTTTAATGTATGTGTATTTCCGGCTTTCTCCTGCAATTTCCCCATGCCCACCGACTGCGCGCCGTCGTCATGGAACTGCTGCCCAAAAACCAAACACGCGTTTTATTTATTTATGCTCACACACACACGTGCACACATGCCTGCTGTATGCGCCTATGTGTGTGTGTGTGTGTGCCTGTGCGTGTTGGCCTCGTTCGTCTTCGTCTTTGTCAACACACACAAACAACAACAATAACTACGACAACAACTGCTGCAACGTGAAAAACATTGTTATAAAATTGCATTGCCTCGCTCACGTTTCGCAAACACGTATCCGCATCTGTATCCGTGCATCCGTATCTGCGTATCTGTGTATCTGCATCTGTATCTGTGCATCTGTATCTGCATCTGCGTCTGCGTCTGTGTCCGTAAACGTAAACGTACACGTATCCGTATCTCGCCAACGCCATCGTTTGCATGTCGACGTATGTGTATCTTGTATCTCTTAAATGCATTTACTTGCATATAAATCACACACACGCACATACACTGTCACACACATACACACCGACACACACAGCTACACAATAAGAGATCAAGTGCTCGACGACGGCATGGTCTCCGAATTGGGCATTTCGCACACATATCGCCAGGATACAGGCATTTATATCTGTCATGCCAACAATGCATTTGGACAGGTAAGTGCATGCTGACACTTTTGTGCCACACACCACACACACACACACACCTACACACACCACACTCACACTCACAACTAAACCACAAGCAGGTCTGTTGGCGCACAAAAAGCAATCAGAAGTTTTGTGGTTCCTTAAGTTACATTTAGAATATTTGATTATATTTGGTGGGTTTTTATGCAGCTCTAAACTAGAAAGAAGGGCTGGCTAAATTCGGCACGCCGAACAGTAGATACCCTTATAGACATAAGACTTACCGTTTTGCTTATACGTGAGGATAATTGTGAAGCTTTCCTTTATTATTCCTAAGTTTACTGTGAATCTAGAAATCTAGAAAAGCAAAAGGTTTTTTCATATCAATAAATTATTGTGCGAACAATTCTGCTATTATGATATCATAGTAAATTATCAAACCTATATTATATCATACCATGATATTATCCTGTATGATATATATCATAGTTATTGATAGGATTTGGTTTATAAGTGAGGAACATGGTAAAGCTTATAAGTACTTCGTATAGTCAGGGTATATTGAAGAACAGTTAACTTTTTCATACAAGAACTAAATTTTCGACAGATCATTTCTATATGTCAGCTAAATTATATAAAAGTCCGATGATGATAAGTTTTTAAATATAAGGGAGGAGGAATAATGAAACTAATAAATGCCGAGCCTAGTCAAGATTGTTTTAGAAGCAAGAATTTTGTCCACACTATGGCAGATATATGATATAGTAGTCTGATCCATCTGGTACCGACATATCTACTGCCTGCAACAGAAAGACGGACCTAGGCAAAGTTTCAAGAGGACAGCTTTAAAACTGAGAGACTAGAAGAGAATCAGATAGACGGACAATCGAAAGGACTGATAGACGGACGGACGGACATGTCTATATCAACTCAGCTGTTGAAGCCAATCTGGAATTTATATACTTTATGGGGTTGGAGATGTTTCCTTCTGTGCGTTACGCATTTCATGACATAATTATACTACCCCCTAGAAGAGTATAAAAAGTTTTTTATACAAGAACTTCATTCTTACCGATCTTTCCTATGGCAGCTACATGAAATATTGGTCCGATCCGGCCAGTTGCCTCATATGTTCTGCAAATTGATAGCAAGTTGAGCTTTAAGCTTTTTGCTAAACTAAATTTGATTTTTTTTAAATAAAGTAAACTTCGCTTAAAGCTCAAGAAAAGCTTTTAAAGTTGTGTTAGCTAAATTTGCTGTGACTTAAAAACTGGACGATCCTGTATAAAAGCCAGCCCTAGTAGCTAAGCACAACACACACTACACACACATATACAGCACACACACACACACACACACACACACACACACACACACACACACACACACACACGTACGTTTGCGAGTTGCTGCACGGCCCAAAAATGTCGACTCATTGCTGGCAACAGTTGTTGGCCCTAATTTATGGCAATTTGAATGAGCCGGCTGCAACTGGCGCTGGCTCCAGACCTGTCCAAACACAGCTGCCGTTAAATGAGTTCGGCGAGGCGTGTGTTTAACTAAAACAAACAAATTGAAATGCTGCTTCACAGGACGAGATGTCCATACAGCTAATCGTGCAGGAGGTGCCGGAACAGCCGAAGAATCTGCGCATCAATTCGCAGCAGTCGCGCAGCCTGCAGCTGACCTGGAGCCAGCCCTTTGCCGGCAACAGTCCCATCGAGCAGTATCACGTCTACTACAAGCAAATCTCAGGTGAGCCACGGCAGACACAACTGGGCGTGGCAGTGCCACTCAACAACAGCCTTCTTCCCCTTTGCAGACATCTGGCAGAATGCGGAGCACATTGATATAGGCGGGGCTCTGACTGTGGTCAACATACAGCAGCTGCGTCCGGCGAAGGCCTATCACATACGCATGTCGGCGGAGAATAAGCTGGGCGCCTCCGAATACTCGGAGGTGGTGCAGGTAACCACGCTGGAGGAGGTGCCCTCCGGTCCGCCGTTGCAGGTGCGCGCCGAGGCGAAGAGCTCTACGGAAATATCTGTCACCTGGGATGCACCGGAACGTGACCATTGGAATGGCATACTGCTGGGCTACTATGTCGGCTATCAGATGTCGCTGACGCCCGAGGACAAGGAGGTGAATCCCACGCAGGGCTTCAGCTTCAAGACTGTCGAGGTGCGCTCCCATTTCGGTGGCGAGACGGTGCTCACAAATCTCAACAAGTTCACCCAATACCATGTGATTGTCCAGGCCTACACCAGCCAGGGCAGCGGCCCGCCCAGCAAGGAAATTGCTGTCCAAACAATGGAGGACGGTAAGTGGATGTGTAGACGACCCCTCCCTCCCCACACCCATGGTGGCCTCCCTGTCTGCCGGCACACATTGATTGGATTTGTTAATTGCCCGTGCACAAAAACTGAGCCCAACTCTCTGCCAGCTCTGGCGCCGTCTGCTCGCCGTAGCCGGAGCCGGGCAAAACGTTTAATAAACTCTCAATGCAGACCCCTTCCCTTGCTCACTCTTTCTCTCTCTCGTTTTGTCTCTCGCAGTGCCCTCATCCCCGCCAGAGTCGCCGCAATGCGATGTGCTTGGCTCCACATCGATTTATATCACCTGGTCACCGCCGGATATTGACGGACAAAATGGCAAAATCAAGGGCTACAAAGTGTTTTACATATCGGTCGATGAGCTTTACGGTAAGTCCACCTCCCCCCTCTGTCTGTCTGTCTGTGTGCGTTGTTTGGCTCGCAAATTACTTCAGCGGCATTGGGGATTGGGCATTTCAGAGCAATTATGCAATGCCATTAGCCCATTAACCCGCTAAATTCAATTGGAATTTCAATCTGTAATTGGACAGCAAACAGCAATTTAAATATTGTTTACACATTTTTCAAAAATTGTTCATCGAATTTTGCCGTTAATTTGCAAAATGTTTCAATTTAAAACCAAGTCTGCGAATCGGCTTTAAATCGAGCAGGCTCAAACCTTAAACTCAATTTTATTTGTTAATTTGAAATATATTTCTATTGAAATTTCTATCTGAAAGTTGTGGAGTAAACTCCAAGGCGAACTGGCTTTTAAGACAAGCTGGTTCAAATCCTACGCTCCATTTTATCTGCTACGATCAACCTTGCCTTAAAGCAAGCCCAATATTTAGCAAGCCCATTTAGCTATTTATATACTATTTTCATAATTTTAAAAATTATTGAAAATTTTCGTGTTATTTTGAATTTCAACCTGAAAGTTGTGAAGTAAACTCCAAGGATGCAAATCGACTTTTAAAGCGAGCTGGTTCAAACCTTAAAATAAAAAATAAAAAACACCTCTACAATTGAAAATTCAATATATAAAACGCAGCAAATGGCTTTTCAATTATTACCTAAACATTTTTAAAAATATTGAGTTAATTTGTGGAGTTAATGGCAGGCTGCGTGCCGGCTTGTAAATCGAGCTGGTTCAAACCCTGAACTCCATTTTACTTATTACTATAAATCCAACCCGTTGCCCAAAAATCAGCTAAACCTTAACCCTACCAATACCTTATTTTCAAATAAAATCATTTGACTAAAAATAACAAACATAAGGAAGACTTAGCCCCAAAGCACGCATTTATCTAATCATATTTGATAGATGCCAACTTTGGTTGGAGTTCAAATCTAGCCCGCATTTTGTGTATGAAAATATTTATGGCTTGCAATATATTCAGCACAACGGGCGCAATTGTAAATTGAAAGTTGAATTGTTTGCTAAAGTAATAAAAATAATAATAATAATAATAATAATAACAATAATAATTGATAACATATATGAAAATTCGAACAAAATCTACTTTAAGGAATGTGAAAAAACCCGAGAGTTGATTCAAATTGTGCTGCGCAGCACCGATCTCTTTACTATCCATTTAAATATTAGAGAACTTTTTTTAAGGCTTATTAATTTCTTTAAAAATGGAAAGGTCGCCAAAACCAGCATAATATATAAATGATATCTATATGAACAATCGATTCGATTCAAACATATGTATGTCTCCAGCTGGAAACAGTCTGTTGCCTCTCCTATAAAGTTTTTACCCAAATCCATTTTAAATCCATTTATACGCGATTTCCTCTTCGATAGAAATGCATTTGTTTAAATTTTTAAGTGCACTTTTGGGATTCATCCAAAATTTAAGAGATAACATCAAAATATGAATTTGTTAGCTTGCTTTAACATTTTAATAACTGCTGCTAGAGTGGCAGTTCGAAAATATCCTGCACCCCCCACCCTCCCCTTCCCCCTCCCCTTCCCCCTCTCTCTCTGTTTAAGTGGCACACTAATAACCCATTTTCTGTGAGATTTTCCATTTAATTAGCCGCTCGTTGGCAGCATCTTCATATTTCCAATCAGCGCTAATTGTTGTCTTGTTGTTCTGTTCCCGCACAGAAACGGAGCCGGAGGTTGTCAAGTCAACAAATCAATACGTCACCATTGAGAATCTGCGCAAATATACAAACTACACGGTTTGGGTTTTGGCTTACACCAAAGTGGGCGATGGCATGAAAACCAAACCATTTTATTGCCGCACCCATGAGGATGGTAAGTGCCGGCGGTTCAATGAACGCAGCCACGACGAGGCGTGGCAGGCGGAGGCGTGGCACGGCATGGCTCATAGAGCAATCCTATGCCAGCCAATCCGCCCTCAATCCTTTCGCCCAGCGCCTGGGTCGTCATTGTCGTCGCCTCGTTTTGCAATTTCATGCAGCGCATTTTTCATATATATGTATTTATTTTCTTTTTGTGCGCTTTTTCGCTTTGCCATTGCAATTGCTTTTATTTATATGTTTTCTCCGCTTTTTTTTCTGTGTAGTGCCCTCGGCGCCGCAGGCAATCAAGGCGATACCCGCGTCGAGCACCAAAATCATAATCTCCTGGCTGCCGCCCGACCTGCCCAACGGTGACATCGTAAGTAGCCCGCGCTCCAACCAATTCCAAATTATCCCATCATCATCATCTGCTTGTAGACCGGCTACACGTTCTACATGTCCATGCTGGAGGGTGGGCGCGAGGAGGGCACGCACAAGCGTCTGCTGGGTCCGTATGTGGAAATGCACGAGACGGTGCGCACCCAGGAGTCGGCCACGTATCAATTCTGGCTGACTGCATCCACCAAGATGGGCGAGGGCGAGAAGACGCAGGTGGTGACGGTGCCGCCGAACAACAAGGTGCCCGCACGCATTGTCTCCTTCAGTCAACGCATCGTGACGCCCTGGAAGGAGCATCTGGAGCTGCCCTGTCGCAAGGTGGGCGCCCCGGCGCCGGTTACCATCTGGCGCCAGGACGGGCACAACATGGAGACGAGCGCCCGCAAGACGATCGCCAAGAACGGCACGCTCTATATGCGCGAGTGCCAGGCCAGCGATGCCGGCAACTATACGTGCAGCGTGGAGAATACCTGGGGCAAGGATGAGATCGTCTACAATATTGTGGTCAAGGTGCCGCCCGAGGCGCCCAATCTGACCGTGGTCAGCAGCTACACGGACAGCCTGCATCTGGAGTGGCTGGACAATAGCCATGGCGGCAGTCCCATCTTGGGCTATGTCATCAACTACAAGCGCGACAATGGCGACTGGGAGGAGCTGCAGGTCGACGCCAAGACCAATTCGCATCTGCTCAGCAATCTCTGGTGCGGCACACGCTATCAGCTCTATATAACTGCCTACAACAAGATCGGCACCGGGCTGCCCTGCGACATTGTCAACTCCTACACGAAAGGCAATTCCCCCGTCCAGCCGAAGCACTCGCAAATGATTACGAACAACTCGACGAGCGTCACCTGCTGGCTGGACTCCTGGGGCGATGGCGGCTGCGGCATACTCTACTTCATGATCGAGTCCCGAGTTTATGGCCGTTCCACCTGGAATGTCGTCTCGAATCATATTCCGCCCACCGAACGCATTTACACGGTCAGCGACCTGGTGCCGGGCACCAAATATCAACTCAAGGTCACGGCCCACAACAACGCCGGCTCCACCACGGCCGTCTACAATTTTACCACGCTGTCCCCGCAGGGCGGTAAGTGCAAGATTTAATAAGATAGAGCCCTCTAGTCTAGGTGTTATCTGTCACCCCTTCTCTGTTTTACACTTTGTGATAATTATTTTCAGATAACATCGGTATCTATTGTCCGATCGTTTTGAAAGTACTTAAAGAATGCATTGATATGTGTGTTTATACCCAAAATCCAAGGATTTACGCCTTATTTTCAGTTTGCCAACATATGAGGAAGATATCGAAAAGCGTCAAGATATCGCGAAACAAACTTGTTCTGTGTATGTTATACGAAAATGTACATATCAAATTTGCTGTAGCTGTCATAATCTCCGGGATATACTCAAAACATTTTCGATTTTTATCGATATTAGGGAACCGGGCGTCGTAATCGATAATTTACAATTAACTTCATGATATACGATAAAGGCCGAAAGATGCAAAAAAAAACACAGCTGCAAATCGATATTTATCGTTATCGGGTGTAGTTATCGATCATTGAAATTTACATTGATATCCATATAATAAATGAGAGCCTATATGGCTATTTTGGTGTTCGTAGATCTTATAACGGACGAAATATGCTCGAAAAAACAGGACTACAAATCGATATTTATCAATATTAGAGAAACGAGTGTAGTTTTTGAAATTTGAAATTAAAATGAGAGCCTATATGCCTATTTTGGTGTCCGTAGATCTTATAACAGATGAATATGATCGAAAAAATAGACATCTCGATATTAATCGATATCAGAGAAACGGGCTAAGTTATCGATCATTCAAAGTTAAAATGAGAGGCTATTTGCCTATTTTGGTGTAGCTCTAATAACAGACGAAATATGTGGGACTGCAAATCGATATTTATCGAAAACAAGGCAACATTCAATATAAGACAATTTTAAATAGCTTGCTCCCCATATGATAAGCGAGAATCTTAACGGCAAATTTATAATCTCTGGCATTCGATATTTATCGGGGAAATGACGGCAGTTAACGATAAATACATTTATCTTGGGGGCACGGTTTATCAATAGATGGACAGGCAAAAGGACAGACATATTAACGGACAGACGGACTTGGCTTGACTCCGTTTCGCTGCTTGAGAATATGTTTGCCTTGATATCGAGGCAGCTTATAATTATGTCTATTATCATATTCAATTCTTCTCTCACCTGCAGTGCTCTATAATAACGATCACTCCCCGCCCGTCTCCCATCTGAGCGATCTGCCTTTCTATGCGAATTTCAAACTGTTGCTGCCCATTTGCATCTCGCTGCTGATGCTGCTGGCGCTGGTTGCCGCCGCCCTATTTCTGCGCAAGCGGAGTAAGTGAAGGGCCTGACACGAATTTTATTATAAACGTATTTAATTAACAGTTCTGTCGCCCACAGAGCTCACAAATCAGGCGCGCCTGGCCAGCTCCTCGATGTCGGAGTCGCCCTCCTTGGCCAATCTGCAGAACAAACAGAATCGCGATCAACAATATTTGGCCGTGCGCTGTAATCCCACCAATTCAGCGCCGCGTGGCTCCAATTCCAATGATTCCGGCAGCTTTGGCAAGGCCGAGGGCAATGAGTATATCGAGGATATTTGCCCCTACGCCACATTCCAGCTGAACAAACAAACCTACAGCGAGAGCTCCTACAGCGGCAACGTATACAGCGGTCCCTATCACTCGGTGCGCGGCTCCTTTGTCTATCACGATGTCAAGCCAGAGAGCTATCATGTAAGTAGAGCACAATATACAACAAGTAAGAGGTTCTAGTCGGGAGCTCCCGACTAGGGGATACCCTGAACCCTCTTCTTCCAACAGGCCATAGGTATGAAATGAAAGATACTTGATATATATATACTATTCCAGCTACATGTCAAGTTTGGTGATTATTATCTTATTATTTACCAAAATTGCTCAAAAACCAGTATTTCGATATCGATTTTTATCGATTACTTGGAAACGGGGCAAGCTACCGGATATCGGGAACAAAATCGATCTGCGCGGGCACTAGGAATCCCTACAGCTAAAATTTCAAGTCTCTAGCTCTTATAGGTTTCGAGATCCTTGCGTTCATACAGACGGACGGACGGATGGACAGACAGACGGACATGGCTAGATCGACTCGGCTGTTGATGCTGATCAAGAATATATATACTTTATGGGGTCGGAGATGCTTCCTTCTGCCTGTTACATACATTTGCACAAATACATAATACCCTTTCTAATAATACTCACTCTCCCCCTCTCTCGCTCTCTCTCTGTCAGTCCAAGGAGCCGGAGTATACGAAGGTGCGCCGAAAAGTGGGCCGCCTACGCGATCCGCACTCCGAGAGCCAAGGTATGCTATATATGCAAGATATATATCAATTATAATTATCCTGATCATTTGAGAGTTGTGCCCCAAAATAAAATGTAGCTTTAAGCAAAATTGTTGCTCATTATTTTGCCACACATCATGTCTGTTCATGATTTCTATATGCTTGATTTACATATACATATATATTTTTTATTCGCGCTCTAATCAACTTCGATACTAACATTCACATTCAAAACTTCATCCAAAAAAAAAAAAAAAAAAAAACAACCATCGCATCCGTATTAAACTTTTTAGAATCGGACAATCCAGGTTCAACAGATTCCGAAGTTAGGAAAATCCTAACGCTTCACATACCAATTACAGAATATGACACACTCGGCTCCGAGTCCGACAATGATGTGTCCGCGCGCGCTCTTAACTCGGCCAAATATCGCGCACAACGCGGTAAGCAGAAAAACTAAACAAATATTACGTATACGCAGCGTGGCACAAATAAATATATATATTGGTGATTTCTCCCGTGCAGACACTCAAGATGAGACCTCGTCGTCATCGGAAACGACGCCCACCAGCATGACCCGCAAATCGAAGCCTCCATTTGCGGCACGCAAGTCGGGCAAGCCGGGCACCAGCGGCAAGCGGCATGTGCGCAGCTCCAGCGGCTATTCGAGCCACAATGAGGAGACAACATTTAGGTAAGGATCGTTAAACGGGATGCTAACAATAGTAATTGTCGCTATATGCATAATTAGAACCCTGTACGTTTAGCATATCCAATTATCCACCAAACTATCAGGACCACATTAATCCACCGGCGCGCTTCTCGGATGCCAACGACAAGACAAAGACCCAGACGTCGCCACGTATGCGTGGCAATCAGAAACTGCAGCGGGAGGCATTCCAGATCAATGTCTAAAGCATATATACTACAAATATTACAGCAAAATACATTTTAAAATTAATTGCAAGAAAAAAACCCAAATATTAAGAAAAAACGTGTTAAAAACAAGAAAAACCAAACGAAAAGTTGATTCGATAATTGTACAATTTGTTGCAAAATCAAGCCAAACAAATTTGTTGTAAAATTCAGTCAAAATAATCAGCATATGGCAAAACCCTATATATAGTATATAAGGCAGACTTGGCTAACGCACTCCCGACTTCTAACTAAATGGCATTTCTTTAGCAATATATTGTTAAAAAATAAATACGAGCTACTTACTATTTAAAATAAATATTGAAAGTAACAAATACTAAATTTATGCAAAAATTGTGTGTGCGCCGTTTGAAAAGTATTACAACTATTTACAACAAGACGTAAATTTAAAGTAAATTTTCGAGCGTTTTTGATTTTCAACGAAGTAACATAGAAAAAAAATAAAAGTAAATAATTTGCCCCAATGAAAAAACGAAAAAAAAACGTATATAAACAATAAGACTTATTTACACACTGATTATGCTTAGTTGGACTTGAAAAGCTGCAGAGAATAAGTTAAACGAAAAATTTATAAACATAAATCAATGTTAAACGATTTAAAACTTAAGCGAAAACTGCGGCAGGCCGCATTTAAAATGTCCTGCATAGCCAAAGGAACTACACAAGTTAGAGTAAAACAAAAGAAAACTCTTCAAGCTGCCAGTTAAATGCAGAGCATTCAAATAGTTGGAATCAACAATAATACACGAACGAAAACTAAATAAGGCCTTTGTGCTAAGCGTAAAAATACACACAAATACATGCATACACGCATAAGATACACACACACACATATATGTGTAGTAAGTTATAGAACATTACGTTGAATTGTTTGTTCTTTTTTTGTTCCAACCCAAAGTAAACGAGAAATATTATTTAAAAATGTTAGCTAGTTATTTAAAAATGGTAAAATATAAATTAATTTAATGAAAAATAACACGCATCTAATAGTTTATGAAACTGTTGTACATAGCTAAGCATATAACATTTAATTATACAAATAGTGGAATCTTTAGAAAGCCAAAGTCGTAAGCCAGCATGCATTTTCATCAAAAAGAAACCCAACTCTAGCAGCAGCTCAAGCTAAACAATAAACTGTATAAGTATATATATATAGCGCCGATTCTTGTTTGCCAAAAATTATAGATCACACACACAGTCTCACACACACAGACACTGCTCCTGTACTATATAGACAAGCGCATGACTCTGATTATATATTTTACAATAGCCAAAGCGAGAAACCAACCAATTTACATGACAATATGATCCACAACAAACAATACATAACGCAATACCATTTGAAGACACAACGTTGTAGTTCACAAAAAATAATAATAATAATAATAATAATAATAAATATAAAAACAAAACTCAGTCATATAGAGCTTGTTCCATCAAGCATTATTAACTACCGAACAATCTCTACGGAGTTACTTTCTAGGCAATGCAACATTTCAGACTGCACCATCAAAAAAAAAAACCAAAAAAAAACAGATTTAGGCATTTAAAATTACTGCAATAAATGAATAAACAATACTTGGTTGTAAAGAATTTGAAAAGAGCCAAACGAAACGCCTGAGAAAATTGTAAAATTCAACAAACATATGGAAAATACCTATTACAAAACGATAAAAACAAAAAATAAGCACAGTTAATGTACATTTGTTTATGTACAATTCTATAATTGTGGTCTAAATAAATGACATGATATGATAAAAACAAAAAACACTTGATCTTTCACTTCTACTACTAGTCGGACTTCAAATAACCGAGTTTTCAACATTTAAAGTATTTTGAAAATCGTATAATTCGAATATCTCGGTTAAATATCATCCGATTTTCGAACGGAATACCTCAAATTACTCGTACTGATCCAGACAATCGATTGACATTAAAAAATCGAATTCTAAAATTTTTCCAGATTTCCCAAAAATGGCAAGGGGTAACATCACAATTTTTCTTAAAATGGGTTTTTTTCTGAAAACAAAAACTTTTGATTGCAGTCTATTCTCTGATGTTTAACGAGTCCGAAATGCCATATCTCGCCTTGATCGGACTTCAAATAACCGAGTTATGGACTTTTAAAGTTTTTGAAAAATCTTATAATTCGAATATCTCGGTTAAATAACATCCGATTTTCGAACGGAATACTTCAAATTACTCGTATAGATCCAGACAATCGATTGACATTAAAAAATCGAATTCTAAAATTTTTCCAGATTTCCCAAAAATGGCAAGGGGTAACATTACAATTTTTCTTAAAATGGGTTTTTTTCCTAAGTCAAAAACTTTTGATTGCAATCTATTCTAATAAGTTTCACGAGTCCAACTTGATATATCTCGCCTTTATCGGACTTCATGGACATTAACAGTATTTGAAAAATCTTATTGTCCAAACAACCTTATCTTTTTAGGATCGTATTTCAATTAACCGGGTAATACTTAAGTCAGCCCATATTGGGGTAGTAAAAAACACTTGAGCATTCACTTTGCTGCAGTGCACAAATCTGGAGAATAACAAAAGATCGCATTTATTTACATTCGACATAGTTTTGGTTGTTTGTTTGATTGAATTTAAAACAAAAGGCATGTAGATTCAGGCATGTCGAAATTGGAGCTGAGCTTATATAATATAATATGCCGCATAAGCTACAATACAAACAAATATTTTAAAATTCCTTGCAATTGTTGCATTTAAAGCATTTCATAGTTATTAGACATAATAATATTGTTGCATACCAACAACGATCATACAAATTCCAAACAGCTGAGCGCTATACAATGTTTGTTTGTGTTCTGTTTGTTTTTTGTTTTTCGCTTACCAATAACTTACGACTAAACGGCGATTGGTATACAAAATGAACAAAACTAACTAGCTAAAGCACATTTACAAGTTAATAGTTAGCGGAGGGGATGACGGGGTGGCGGGAATATATGCGCTTACACTGGCTAAAACGCTACGATTAGGTGTGTATAAAAAAAAGGAAACGCGTTAAGAGTTTAGCCACTTTGTAAGTTCAACGGCATCTTAAGAGTTAAACGTTAAACTAATTAGAAACATTATACGAATAACATTTTCTTTGTTTTTTGTTTTCTTTTGCTTCTTTTTTTTCAATTTTTTGTTTTTGATTGATTTTGATTGCTTATTTGTTGCTTATGGCAAATATCAGAACATAATCGGCTTATCCTTGCACTGGTCTATCACATAGCCGGTGAAGCGTTTCAGAAACTTGGGATATTCACGCTTATAAACGGCCCGTAGGGCGCTGGCGGGTGCCCAGCCGCCGGGATTGACTAAAAGTAAAAAATTAAATTAAATCGTGTATTAGCCGACTTTGTCCAGGTCAAGTTTCCAGCCTAGCCCACATTGCACGCATCTGCGTAGGTATTCCTTAAGTCGGTAATCTCCTTTTAAACAGCTTTTCAAAATCACAAAGAAGAAGTTATAATCCACATATTTTTTGTCGATTTTTTAGATTTTCCAACATTTTGAAATAGTTTGAAAACGATCGGACGAATATTGAACACAACAAACACTTTCCACTAACAAAACGAAACACGTCTCAATTAAATTTGTACAAAGACCTTCGAAAATAAGTTATTAGCCGATCAAATATTAAACCAAAGAGTCTCATACAAGCTTATCCACTAATTTGCCACATTTGTGAGTGGAATTTCATAAGGTAGCTGCCAAGCTATAAAGATTGGTCTGTGCTTAGATCAACAGTCAGTTAGTCAGGCAATCAGTCGGTTCTCAGAATGGATCTATTACTTTTTTGTCAAACCCAGCTGGCAACGTAATTCCTTATCTCTCTGAAGAACTGCAGTCAACGTATAATTTAGTCAGTCAGTGTTGGATTGGAATATATATACGCACCCACAGAGCAGTAGGTTACTTTGCAGGTTAAATCATCACGGCTCAGCGGCTGGCCCTTGACATAATCGTCGGGCAGATGTGTTTGGCAGGCGAGTATGACCGTCAGGAAGATGCGCACGCATTTGCCATTCTTGGACTGCAGCAAAAGTAAACGATAAGATTAATTGTACTTTTGTTAAGAGCTGAATCGCAGACGAACCTCCTGTTTGGCATATTCCGTTGAGTTATTGCACACGACCCACATGTCCCGTGTGCCCGGCTCGAGGCCATCGTTGATTTTGCGCATATGCGACCAGAATTGTGCATCCCGCTGGCTGGCTGGCCAAATGCGTTTGTGGGTTTGCAGAAATAGCAATGTGTCCGCTGAGATTTTCTCCAATATTGTGCAGTCCTCCAGCGTGGCTGCAAAGTACGACAAGCTATAGCTTTAGCTTTATGGAAAATTAATAGCTCGACTCACTCTCCCAATCGTTGCGGAACTCGGGCATAAAGAAATAATGGCACATTTCACGCGCTGTCACGCCCTTGACTGAGTGATAGGCCTTCAGCGGATCCATGACCATGCCATTGAGCTCCACCTCGCGTTTGTACATTTTGATTTCACCCTCGTCGGCAAAGATTTGCCAGCCATTGCCATCCTGGCCGACGCCCTCGCGCGCATAGTGCAGCTGCTCCTTGCATACGCGATCAATCTGCATATGGGACATGAATCCAATTAATGAACATTTTTGATGGACAATTTGACAATTTCCGGCTTACCTCCGGCCAGAGGGCGTGGCTTTTGGCCTCGGCGCCGGTGCCAAACTCTTCGCGCGCCTCCTCGCCCTCGGCAACGGCCTCGTGCGGCACATTGACCAGCGTCTGTGAGATTTGCGATTGGAGTCTCAGCTTGAAGCGCATCTGCATGTCCTCCTCGATTTTCTCCAGGCCCGTCTCAACAGCATCAAAGAACTCATCCTCGGGCAATGTGGAATGTGGACCCTCCTATTATGTAAATACTCCAGCATTAGTTGAACTAAGTCAAGTTTATTAGGGTTCGGTCTAATTAATTTTAATGCACAGCACAGCGAAAGAAATGCGAAACGTGCCGCGTATAAATTAAACGA